GTGTTTCTCTTATGGATATTTGAGAAATGTTTGTGTACAGAGTCAAGTATAAGTTAACAAGTTTGGTGTACCTTTTTTTAATCTTTAACCAGAAGGTGCAAATGTTGCTTTCATGGTGGCCCATTCTGTGTTGTTATGTGGCATGTTATTGTTGTAGACATAGTATAAGATGGTGTGGCTTTGTCAAGTGGAGGTGTGGCTAAGTGTTGGAGAAAAGTTCAGGTGACAAAGTGCCTATTTTATTTGATAAAGTGCAACACTGGTTGCATACTAGAACTGAAGATTATTCAAAATGAAATATTAACATATCATATGCATATTTTGATGTTTTGTAAGGTTGGATAAATACTCTTGGATATTCATATATGATTCAAATATAAAGTGCATGATTTTTTGGTCCTCTTGGAAAAAAATCTAAGTTCAGAGAAAATTAAGTGGGAAGTTGATGTAGTATATACGACACAAATTATAGTCTTGGTGATAAATACCCAAGAATGTTTATAAAAATCTTTTTTTCAATTTTCATAATGTTAATCTACTGTTTGTAAGGTAAAATACTTCAGAGGTGGAAAGACTGCATGTTGTACAGAACGTTTGGACATATATCAAAGCTTCTGCTCCGTCTGGGGTCATTGCCAGCGGCAACCTCGGTGTTTATTAGCAAAACCGACCAATGTGTTTTACAGGAGAGCGGGACAACATAATTATTTTAGAATCCCTAAGGTCTGGGAAAAGTCGACCTTAAGTTTGGTCTTAATTTGCCCGATGTGACTTTTCAGCATGAGAAAATGTTTTAAAAATTAACCAGTTTGGATAAGCGACTAGGCAGCACAGCCTGGAGACTTTTGGCCGGTGGGAAGTGCTTTTAAAGTTAAAATTTATGAACAGTTTGCAACCTCGGACCTTAAAATGGGGACGTAATTGCAGTTGAAGGGACATGCCATGGTGTCACTTGAAAGAAAAAAAGAATTGTTAAGCGTGGGTTGAAGGGTTTACTGCTCGGTACACTGCCACAGTCTGCCCTCTCCAGATGTTGTGCTGATGTTTGCTACCACTTTGTTTTTGAGGGGAGAATGAGTCTTTTATGTGTTTGAACTTCACTATTTGAGAAAAAGGTACAGGAAAATAAGATGATTTTCTTCTTCTTCTTCTTCTTCAAAAAAAAAAAAAAAAAAAAAGGGGATTATACTGATCAAATGTAATTGCTGACGAAATTCAAACACCTTTTTTTATTCCCATACTTCATATTTTTATGATTTCACATTTCAGTTTCCAAATAAATAAATGAATAAATAAACAAACAAACAAGTAAACAACAGGTTAGTTAAAAAACAAAATCTTTCTAATGGACTGAGCTCATTTGTCAGAGCTTAAGAATTTTCAGCTTTTAGATATTACATATTAAACATTGCTTTGGCATATTGAATAAGTTATCTTTCCTTTTGTAACTTTTGAGAAAATACTCAAATTTTGCATATACCACATGGCCCACAAGGGACTGGATAATTAAGAGAGGAGATAACCCTGCTGGTGTTTATATTGACATTTCTAAGTGGGTTCTAATTACTTGGCCCATTAACTCCCAGCAGGTGGCCAGGAAGGCTGTAAAACTTGCTAAATCACGAAAAGGGAAATCGCTGTATGTTGTGTGCTCTGTCTCCCTCTCAAAATAAATGTTTTTATTTTACTTGTTGGAATCAGTCCAGATTCCATTTGTGAAATGGCGGAGGATCAAAATTGTAAGCAGTTTTAATGTCAAGATGCCTTAATGTGTCACATTCTCACCCCTTAAGTGTAACATGTCAGTTTACTGTGTATCAGAGCACTTGTTATTTCCTTTGATCAAAAATTTCAAGAGACCAACTGAAATACTTCCTCATAAACAAAACCCCATGTAAGATGACATGTTTTAAACTTGATACAGTCTTGTAGACTGAATGGGTTAACTAGTCTCTAGAAACCCTATTGTACTAAATGGGAATCGGATCTATCTCTGAGGGGATTCTTGCTAAATTGCAATCAACTTAAGCAGCTTAGATGTCTGTCACACCTACTGAAGCTGCTAGAGGGTAATTAACTATCGTTCAGCAGCTTCAGTTGGTGTGCCAGACATCTAACCCGCTTAATCTGAAAACAATTTAGCAGGTTACCCGTTGGAGATGGATTGATCCTGTTAGATCGATCTAGGTATGGGAACCCAGCCATAGACATCTGTGCTGCAAGTCATAACACATGGTACTAGTGAAAATATGGGGCCCAAAGAAGCAGGAAGTTTGATTCCTTAGCAACCTTAGAGAGGCTGTGGTTGATGGGTGTTCATTCTGTTAATTGGCATGTGTTTCCCTTAAGTCTTCTGTACATTGTTGACTGAGCTACATGGCTTTGGTTCTACATTGTTACTACTTTGCCGGTTTCAAAGAAGAACTCAAGATCAAAGTTGGTTTTTAATTATAGAGTTTATTAACTAAAAATGATCGTTTACTTTAGTTCAGGTTGAATTTATAATGAAGTACTAAAATAAGCAGTTATTGATCTAAAAGGTCAACATTTTTTGTGTAAAATAGGTTTGATGTTTCATTATATTGGACTTCTACTGATTTTTCAAAGACAAGAAAGTTTGTCTACAAGAATGAGGTCTGTGGCCAGAATGATATGAGTCTTGAACAGACATTGCTGAAAGGAAAATGAAACAAGCATAATTTGCTTCATAACAAATGTCTACAAGTTCTCCTTCCAATGGTTTTGTAAAAGTCATTTTGCAATAATAGATAATAACATTATCTCATAAGGAAAATATGAATCAATGAAATGAATAAAACTAGGTATAATATTAAGTCCAAAAAGAGAAACACAATTAGCAAGTTATCCTAACATTCTCAGTAACTTTCTCGTACAATACAGCCAACTTTTTTGAGGTCATTACTTTGAAATACCATTTAATATGTTTTCTTTCCTGAATAAGTGGCTCCATACATTCCTTGCATTTCCACTTCAAATGAAATAGTGATTTTTGTGCAGACGTATTAATTTCATTATTTTAAAAAAGTGTAACACTCCCTTTTCATAATAGTACAGGTTTTCTGCTAAGAAAATAAAAAACATTTAAGGCAACAGAGAGAATGTTTGTGGTCTTTTTTATACTCTTGTTCAGTAATTGAGTAAAAAGAAGAGAGTGCATTCAAAATTCAATTATGGGTGAAAATTAGTAGCAGGTCATCTTTGTTAACTTTTTGAGTGTCCTTAGCTGACCTCATGAAGTTCTGCTATTTGGTGAATTTTAAGCCTTTTTTTAAAACACTTGAAGAAGTGTTAAAGTATCATTACTTTGCAAACAGAAGTGCCAGAGTTTTACGATGCTAACCAGTTCCATCATTCACTACAAAATTTCTTTCAATAGTGCATCAGTGTATAGACAAACATGTTGTTCTAATGCTAGTCCAAGTTTCTGGATGCTTTTTGTAAGTCCATGTGATTGTTGTCTTGAAAATACCACAAATTTGACCCTGTTTGTAGACATAAAAAGGTACTTTTAGAAGTACCATGTACATGTAACTGTCTGATATAAAGATTTAATTTTGGAAGTAGAATTTAACTGCCTGACCTGAACTAGGGGCAATGCACTGTACCCCTGGACCTCCCGGACATAAACTATTTGACCTGTCACCTGTCATATGACCTGTCACCAGACTGAAGTAATCTAAGTGGGAGTTAATACATCTGCTCTTACATTTAGTTTCAGTTGAACCATTTTATTACATGGCTGGTATCATGTACTCATTTATTTAAATTAAAATGCAATATATTTTTTTGTCTGTTTGATTACAATAACAAGCTTACACTTATTCCATTGATTGTATCAGGACTTGGTGGTTGTAATTTCCAGAGGACAGTTCTCCATTCTTGCTTTTCTATTTTCATTCTCTGCTGATTTTTGTAACATAAAGATTTTCTAAATAACACTGCATTTCATATGTAATGGGGATGGTTTTCAACATACCAAAGTCATAAATAGTTGCTAAAGGGTGGTGTTTATTTGGCCCAGTTAATGAAACATATCTGATAACATACATTTCCATTGGTTGAACTAACTTTTGTCTTTGTACAAGCAATTCCAATTTTCATCATTACCATACAAGCAGTTCCAGCTTTCATCACGATCACACAACTTTCATACAGACACTTGACCCTATTTTCTCTGTCACTGACCCATGCAGGCAATCTAAGCTTTCTTAGTGGCTACCAGCAGATTAATTTGCAATGAAAGTTTGACTTGGTGAGAATATTTAGCTACTGTTTACTATGAACTTAATCGTTATGGGGTTTGGTGTACTTTTGATGTCCGTTTTCACAGTTTTTGTTTGTTTATGCAGGAGTACAAAAGATGTCTTGTATGCAGTGATTGTGATTGCAAAATACATAGATAAAAGAATATGTAGCATATATAACTTAAACTTCTGTGAATATCTGACAGTGATTACTTCAAAAGATTAATTTCAAAGTTTCAAAGTCTTACTGAAAAGTTTAAGTCATGCTGTGAAATGCTTCTAAAAAGAGATAGATTTACAAATGAAACTGGTTCTTCATGTTACAACCAGTATATACAATTAAGAGGCTCCAATTACCAGCTGTACCTTCTGCCAACAATGTTGCTTTGTATGCCATTACTGTTGATTCACCTCTGTGATGTCCCGTTATCATAAACATATTTTAACAACTCTAATTTTTATGTAGCTAGTTTTAAAGCTGGAAAGCTTTGAAAAAGGCACCGAGGACATAGAATATGTGTCAGGTGTTTTTGTTATTTTTTAAAATTAAAATTCAATTTCAACAGAAGATCAAAATAAAACATTTGAATATGTTTGTATTGATGCAGATTGACATATTATTAAAATTCTTTATCTTAGTCTTTTGTGAAGTATTGGATTTTCAGGTATAGTTTATTTGTTTATAGGTGGTATTACTCAATGAAAAAAGTATAATAATTTTGTATCTATTTCCAGGTGCTGTAGATCTCCTTACTGCTGTGAATCTAGACATGGAGTCCTCTTTTGGACTTCCATTAGGAGTAGATAAAGCAGATTCTGGATTTTGTGACTCAAGGGGAGAGTCCAGGCTTCCAGATCGAGCATATAAACTCAACAATGAATCTCAGCTAAGTGTAACAACAAATCAGGTATTTCCAGGTAAGTACATCCCTTTAACTATAATTAAATTGAATGAGTGAATAATTAAACTAAATGTGTTATAGTGCTAATCATGTATTGGTACAAGTTTAAAACCTGACATTTGCCATTAATGGCTTTGAATATTCTGTTTTGGGGTGTGCTGTAATTTCTACATGTTTTTCATAATTGTGTATTATCAGTAAATATTGTAAGAAGTTTTTATGTACAGACACAGATGTGTCTGTACATATAGCCATCATCTGCGTCTGTCGTCGCCGTCGTCGCCGTCGCCGTCGCCGTGCACTTTTACCGATAACACGATAAATGGAAAACCATTTTACCTTTTGACTTGAAACTTGCAGAACTGATGAATATTCATAATACGCANCATAATAGTACAGGTTTTCTGCTAAGAAAATAAAAAACATTTAAGGCAACAGAGAGAATGTTTGTGGTCCTTTTTATACTCTTGTTCAGTAATTGAGTAAAAAGAAGAGAGTGCATTCAAAATTCAATTATGGGTGAAAATTAGTAGCAGGTCATCTTTGTTAACTTTTCGAGTGTCCTTAGCTGACCTCATGAAGTTCTGCTATTTGGTGAATTTTAAGCCTTTTTTTAAAACACTTGAAGAAGTGTTAAAGTATCATTACTTTGCAAACAGAAGTGCCAGAGTTTTACGATGCTAACCAGTTCCATCATTCACTACAAAATTTCTTTCAATAGTGCATCAGTGTATAGACAAACATGTTGTTCTAATGCTAGTCAAAGTTTCTGGATGCTTTTTGTAAGTCCATGTGATTGTTGTCTTGAAAATACCACAAATTTGACCCTGTTTGAAGACATAAAAAGGTACTTTTAGAAGAACCATGTACATGTAACTGTCTGATATAAAGATTTAATTTTGGAAGTAGAATTTAACTGCCTGACCTGAACTAGGGGCACTGTACCCCTGGACCTCCCGGACATAAACTATTTGACCTGTCACCTGTCATATGACCTGTCACCAGACTGAAGTAATCTAAGTGGGAGTTAATACATCTGCTCTTACATTTAGTTTCAGTTGAAACATTTTTTTACATGGCCGGTATCATGCACTCATTTATTTAAATTAAAATGCAATTTATTTTTTTGTCTGTTTGATTACAGTAACAAGCTTACACTTATTCCATTGATTGTATCAGGACTTGGTGGTTGTAATTTCCAGAGGACAGTTCTCCATTCTTGCTTTTCTATTTTCATTCTCTGCTGATTTTTGTAACATAAAGATTTTCTAAATAACACTGCATTTCATATGTAATGGGGATGGTTTTCAACATACCAAAGCCATTAATAGTTGATAAAGGGTGGTGTTTATTTGGCCCAGTTAATGAAACATATATCTGATAACATACATTTCCATTGGTTGAACTAACTTTTGTCTTTGTACAAGCAATTCCAACTTTCATCATTACCATACAAGCAGTTCCAGCTTTCATCACGATCACACAACTTTCATACAGACACTTGACCCTATTTTCTCTGTCACTGACCCATGCAGGCAATCTAAGCTTTCTTAGTGGCTACCAGCAGATTAATTTGCAATGAAAGTTTGACTTGGTGAGAATATTTAGCTACTGTTTACTATGAACTTAATCGTTATGGGGTTTGGTGTACTTTTGATGTCCGTTTTCACAGTTTTTGTTTGTTTATGCAGGAGTACAATGGATGTCTTGTATGCAGTGATTGTGATTGCAAAATACATAGATAAAAGAATATGTAGCATATATAACTTAAACTTCTATGAATATCTGACAGTGATTACTTCAAAAGATTAATTTCAAAGTTTCAAAGTCTTACTGAAAAGTTTAAGGCATGCTGTGAAATGCTTCAAAAAAGAGATAGATTTACCAATGAAACTGGTTCTTCATGTTACAACCAGTATATACAATTAACAGGCTCCAATTACCAGCTGTACCTTCTGCCAACAATGTTGCTTTGTTCATAATGTTCTGTATGCCATTACTGTTGATTCACTTTTTTGATGTCCCCTGATCATAAACATATTTTAACAACAACTCTAATTTTTATGTAGCTAGTTTTAAAGCTTGAAAGCTTTGAAAAGGACAATGAAGGCATATAATATTTGTGAAGTGTTTCATATTTTTTTAAAAATGAAAATTTAATTTCAACAGAAGATCGGAATAGAATATTTGAATATCTTTTGCGTTGATGCAAACTGATACATAATAAATAATAATAATAATAAATTTATTTTAAGTCTAAAATCCATTTAAAATGTTCAGTAGACTTTACATAAAATATCATAAATAATACTACATAAAATATCATAAATAAAATCTAGGTAAAACAGCCATCACTACATCACTATTTAAATTCTTTATTTTAATCATTTGTGAAGTATTGGATTTTCAGGTATAGTCACTTTATTTGTTGATAGATGGTATTACTAGATAGAAAAAGTATAATAATTTTGTATCTATTTCCAGGTGCTGTAGATCTCCTTACTGCTGTGAATCTAGACATGGAGTCCTCTTTTGGACTTCCATTAGGAGTAGATAAAGCAGATTCTGGATTTTGTGACTCAAGGGGAGAGTCCAGGCTTCCAGACCGAGCATATAAACTCAACAATGAATCTCAGCTAAGTGTAACAACAAATCAGGTATTTCCAGGTAAGTACATTCCTTTAACTATAATTAAATTGAATGAGTGAATAATTAAACTAAGTGTGTTATAGTGCTAATCATGTATTGGTACAAGTTTGAAACCTGATATTTGCCATTAATGGCTTAGAATATTCTGTTTTTCATAATTGTGTATTATCAGTAAATATTGTAAGAAGTTTTTTCAGTAATTGGATTTCTATCTCTGTGGTTAATTGACCACAATGTGCATCTCTGTTACACTCATAAATAGATTCTAGGGATAATTTAAGACAGTGCCAAATGTTCAATTCCAATACTATTTAAAACAACAAACTTATAGCAGAAAAATGAACAAGCAACAATAATCATGTCCCAGAAAATGTTTCTCAGTCAGAAAATTAAAAGTTTTAGCGATACAGAAAAGGATGCCTCTTTGCTCTTCGCCTGCAGTAAAACCTCTAAAACTGACAATCAAGGACACGTGAACTAGATAATGAATAGTCATGCTGTAACATCAATGTCATACTTGATGCAGCCTTAGTGAAAAGGTGATGACTAAAAGCAAATGCACTACCGGTACAGCAAACAGGGAATCCTTTAGTGGTGTCCAGCCAAACAAGATGCCTACGAAGCTGACATTTGCTTATGTGTTCCAGCATTCACATGTAGCTATCAAATATGTGTGCATATATTTGATTGCACACATACTTAGTAGCTAGATGGGGGTACTGCCTATATCTCCATGGTAGCCTGTTGAGTTGTTGTCAGTAAACACTAGATGGAGTTACTGTACTAGTATATTTCTCCATGGTATCATGTTAATTTGTTGTCGGTTAATGCTATTTGAATTACTTATAACGCAACACTGTATATGTAAAATATATTTGAAAACTTGAGAGCTGCTATAGAACCTTTGTAGTTTACCTGGACATGGAAGTGGTAAATTTGTATAAAGGCATAAAAACTAGCCAAGCTGACCTTGTTGGAAACATGGGAAGATGAGAACTTAAGTGATGGTAGTTCACCGAGAATGTACAGTTTGACATTGTAAAAACTTGTAAAACAACACCATGAATCATTTACACTGTGGGTATACTGCTGGAAAGCAATTCCAATTGCTTAAATGGCAACCTGCGGAACATGAGTCCACATCAAAGGGTCTTGATTCTTACAAGCTCCTTTCACTCAATTGAAGAAAACTACTTTGAGGGCAAGGCACACATTTCCACCAAATCAACATCAGCCAGTATTCACTGTCAGCAAGACCGGTTTCCAAAGCAACCTTGGATATTTTATACACGACCAGTTTACCTCGAACTTATAGAAGATATTTTGAGGACAAGGCATAGAATCGGGTTGTGGTCACAGTTTGTACAGACCAATGAAATAAAAGGGAAATAATAAGCTTGCTGATAATAAAATGTGAACAGACTAAAGAAAAGGAGGTAAATCAGAAGTTGGCTGATTCTGTAAAAAAAAAACAGTAGCAGGATTCACTTTTTTCTGGGCATTTCTGACATGATTGAGGCCATTTGACTATAATTCAAACACCTGTTGCCTTTCATAGACCACGGGAAGTAATGGAAAATCCAGGAAATCCCAATCACGGAAATGGGTAGTATTACAAATTGCTGCTAACAATATCCAGGAACTGGAAGCAAAACTAATGTTAAACAAGACTCGAGACAGGAAGTCCAATGACCAGGAGTGCAGTTGACTTGATGACCTTAAATGTGTTGGCTGATGAAATACTTATAAACCTTGATTTTGTTTGTAAATTATTATTATTGACCAATTTGACCAGTGATATTAATTGATTTGAATGAGAAACGCGGAAAGTTGCAAAATATTAACTCCAGTACCATTGCACATTGTAAATCTAATTGAGTGGGAAGTATGAGTTGATGTGTTAAACATATAAGTTAAAACAATTTGATTCAATTTAGACTAACATGACATATTTGGGTAAAAGGTTTTAAGAAGTGTTTTTTCCATCATGTATTCCTTTCTTGAGTAAAAGTGGCATTTAATTTGATTAAAGTGCAGCATGCGTATCATCTAGCATGCATATCAGGATAAACCTATTAAAAGTTTTGAAATATCAAACTTTCACAGCAGACCTCAAGGTTTTTATTTTAACCAATTTCTGCTTAAATCATCAATTAATAATGATAATGGTAACCCAGGCCAGTCACTGTCATCCAATGAATTATATTATTCAAAATATCCCTCAATAGGCCCTTTCATGACTCAATATAACCCTTGTAAAATGTTTTTAAAAAGATATGACACTTTTACAGCAATACTCAATATTCTGCTCCCAAGGGCAGTCCAGTCATTCTTGTCTCTATATTGGCTCAGCATTTTCATTTTTGAGATAAAATGGCCAGCCTTGGTTGTTCAGATGTGTCTGAACATAATATCCTGTATCACATTCTTCACAATAATCTTAATGTGGCCATTAACTTCTCAAAAACTCCCTGGCAGTGCAGTAACATGTGTTATTTCATTGCGACTCTGGGCCTTGTACACAATCCTTTGCAACTCTAGGTCACGCAATCCAGAAACACACGCAACGGGTCATTAGGTGTTTGGCATGATAGGTGATTATGGACTCATTCATCTGAGTTCATTGACAAGCTGCATGTACTAACCTAGACACTATGGTATTTTGCAGTATTTTAAACACAAGGTCTGTTCCCATTCATTCATTCATTCCTGTTTGTGTGAAGGAGTTAAATGGAAATTTCTCACAGATACCGTTACAAAGTTTTATTTATTTATTTGAAATTGTAGAAAAAACTACTGCAACTGTTTTCATTTGCACAAGGAACCTTTCTTCACTTGGAACAGCTGGCAGCTGTTGTACAAGATTTGATATACTATTTGGGAAAGCTCGAAACCCCTATCTTGAAGGGATGTAATACCCCCTGAAACAAAAGACGAGACCACTGCAAGGAATGTCATATCCCAGGTCTAGCTTGAGGCCACTGAGCAAGGAATTTCATGTCCTTTGCAAGCCAACCTATAAGGAATGTTATACCTCATGGAAATCGTGAACTGAACATGCAAAGAATGTTATATACCCCTTGGTGTAGCATGTAGCAGTGGGGAAAGGAATGTTATACCCCTTGGTGTAGCATGCAGCAGTTGTGTAAATAATGTTATACCCCTTGGTGTAGCATGAAGCAGTGGTGTAAGGAATGTTATACCCCTTGGTGTAGCATAAAACAATGGTATAAGGAATGTTATACCCCTTGGTGTAACATGAAGCAGTGGTGTAAGGAATGTTATACCTCTTGGTGTAGCATGAAACAATTGTGTAAGGAATGTTATGTCCCTTGGTAATCCTGAAGCCAAAGTGCAAGGAATGTCATATCTCTTGGAAAGTCTGAACCAGATGTGCAAGGAACGTTATATCTCTTGGAAAGCCTGAAGGCAATGTGCAAAGCATGTTATATCGCTTGGAAAGCCTGAAGCCAATGAGCAACAAATGTTTCATTCCTTGAAAAACTGCAGTCACTGTACGTCTAAACAAAGAGAGGTGTCTCTCTTACTATAAAAAAGGTGCAATATTTAATATCAGTAGATAGCTACTTATTTATTTAGGGTCACAGTAGATACAAATGGTAGTTTTAAAGTTTAGACCAGCTTTAGCCTGAAGTTCTTTTGTGAAATGGTCAGGGCCCAGTGCTACTTGACTGAACACTGGCATGTCAGTATTTATTTAAGGAACCAATTTATAAATGTTATTTATGGCACAAAACTGTTCTGTAGTGCTGAAGAGAATGGGAATTTTATTGAAAATTTACAAAATGTATTTAACATGTTCATTTTAGATAAGTGATGAAAATTTCCTTCCAGACGGATTCCCAGAGGATTTCTCAGTCCTCTTGACAATACGCCCAAAACAGGGAAACCGTGGTTATTTATTCACAATATACAGTGGCAGAACAGCCCATGAAACATTGGCAGTCCAGATGGGTGAAGACCCCAAGTTTGTATATGAGGATAGCACTGGAACCCCGGGAGAGAAAAATTCACCAGTATTCAAAGGAGTCAATTTTTCTGATGGAAAGTAAGTTATTGGAAAGATTGCAGGTATCTTTTTATCTTATGATGGCATATTTTGAAATGTAGAATGAATGATAGAAAAGGATTGATTTTTTATACCTTTACTGTTTTCTTCGCAAGGGGAAGGGGCATGCATTTAAATCTGTAGTCAGAAATTAATTCAAGAAAATTACAAAAATTGAAGTTTAAACTGGAAATCCTAAACAGAAGTGCCTGAATATAACCTTAATAACCTAATAATAATAATAATAATAATAATAATAATAATAATAATAATAATAATAATAACATAAGGGCTCCTTTCCAATCAATTATTCTGCCATTTTTCAGGTGGCACAGGATAGCCTACAGTGTAAAAGGAGACTCGGTTACGCTATACATGGACTGTAATCTTATAGAAACCAAAAAACTAAACAGGTCAATTCCGGCAAATGTGGACAACGAAGGTGTCATTTTCATTGGACGGCAACTTATGGAAATGGAAGATGTGACATTTGAGGTGAGTAGTACTACCATACCTTGTGTCTTAGTTATGCTTATTATTCTGTTATTGGTGGGCAGTGGGTACTGCCATTGTCTGTAAAGTCACCGTTTTCCAGTTACTGAGTATATAACATAAATGATAGAATTCTTCACGTGATTTCTCTATATTTTCCTTTTCCATTTGGCCAGCTTTCTTTCTCTTAGAAGTTGTAATCAGAAAAAATTGTAAGCTCTAAATTTTGTGTATAATATGTTTGAAATAAAACTTTTAAAGCTTGAATGTGAAACCCTGTTTTTAAACTTGTCTTTTTGGTAATGATTTAAAATTCAATGAAATGTTTTTATATGAATGACAAAACCAAAAAATAAAAAATTGAGGACATTTAAACTTCAGGTCATATAAACTGACAGAAATTTTATTCATGCAAAGTGCATTCTATTGTTCTGTTTTTGTAGGGCGATGTCCAGGATCTCATCATCATTAACGATCCCCAGGCAGCCTATGAGCATTGTGAGATCTACACTCCTGAATGTACAGAAGACTTCTTTGGATATGTGAAAAAAGAATATGACGACACTTACTCTGTTGGAGAGTCAAAAAATAATGACTCATATTACTCATCTGTAAGTTAATAATAATAATGATGATGATGATGATGATGATGATAACAAGAACATAATCCGTTTAGAGTTAAAAATCCACAAAGTGTACAGTGACACTACTCATAAGGTCTCATATTTCTCTTAGCATGTGTGTGTATGTGAACTGTGATCATTACTTTGATTTATGTATACATTATATTTATATATATATATGAAGAGATGAAACTCCCCAACTTATCCCTATTTATCTGTAAATCCAGATATTTGTATTTATGCCCCCTAAACTCTGCTACATGGGGCTGTGCACCTTTGGCTGCTTGCATTTTCAGGATTTTTACATCTCTGAATTAATATTGAAAACAATAAGCAAGCTGACAAATGTCCATTGTTATTTGATTTCAGTATGATCTGGATGAGGATGTGGCGGGGTCCTATGGGTCTGGGGAGTTGGCTGCTGGCACGGGAGACTTGGAACCAACCTATGGTGTCGGAGCAGGTGTTTATGGCCCTGATGGAGGTTATGGATCAATATCTGTAAGACACTCACTTCCAATATCTCATATTCCATATATTTTTTAATAGCAGTAAAGCAAGGCTTTTGACAGTTCTATTTTCCATACTTTTACCAATACTTGTTATTCAAAAGTTTTGACATTTCTTTATATTTTTTCTTAAGATCATATGCATGCAGTCAATAATTATAAATAAAAAACATGAGAAATTCTGACTTTTGTGATACCAAGCAGTATAAATAACAGTATATACAGAGATGTAGTTTATTGTCAGTAAAAATTAAACAATAGGTTCAAGTATAGGTAAACCTATATTGTTCTTTCCTGTCAGGGTGCCTATGGCTATGCAGGACCCCCAGGGCCACCAGGACCACCTGGGTATACAGGACCAAAGGGAGAAGCTGTATGTAATCCTATAGTTGTGCTGTTATTTATTTATTTATTTATTTATTTATTTATTTATTTATTTATTTATTCTTAAAAGTACAAAAAAGAGATTCTCCTTTCATACACATGTTATTTATTAAGTAATTTAAACATTGCATTACAATTGGGTTAATTACTATGTTTGGTGTAAAGTTTTTTGTAGCTATATAGATATGTTTTGAAATTTTTACACTAGATTTGTTATTGATATGGCTGTAGTGCTGGCTATTGTGGATGGTACTTAATTCTGAGCATGCCACATGTGATAGTTAGTGCCCCAGTTGGGAAGTGAGATCATTTAGGGATTAAACAGATTCTTTAAGGCCAGGGATAAATTGTAAATCACTTTTGTAAGAAATCAAGCTATAAAACGTAGCCGTAACCCTTTTTTGAAATGAAAATTGTAACACAAAATAATTGTTCTTTTTTTTTCATAATATTTTTTCATGGCTGGTTTTATATTTTAGGGTTATCCTGGCCGTGATGGCATTCCAGGAGCTAATGGATTACCAGGTCCTCCAGGTCATGTGTTCATCATTCCTGTAAGTACATGATTATTTTTTCTCTCAGTAAAGGAATATTCTGCACTGTTTTTTCCTCCATGAAATCCAATTTACACATCAAAACTTTTCCAAAATGGCAAGGCAAAAATTATTAAAAAATTGGAGTGTGTGTGTGTGTGTGTGTGTGTGTGTGTGTGTGTGTGTGTGTGTTGTGTGTGGTGGTTTTTATTAAATTGTGTTAAGACAGATCTGCAAAAAAAAGACAATTAATCTATAAAGACAGATGACATAAATCTTTGAGTGTAATTTACAAAATGTGTTTATGTTTATTTGATGTAATGTTTATATTGCCTTTATTTCTAGCTAAGAAACCCAGGACAAAAAGGCCCCAATAATGAAGTCGAAACCTACAGACAGATGCTTAGTCAACACATGGTAAGTGAACAGGAGAAATGCTATAGTCATCTTAAATTTGCTGGCCATCATACAGTTTTTTAAACAAAGTTTATTTACAAGAAATGAAGGCACTATATGCTCTCTGTGAATACAGAATACAAAGATAAGATAATAATACAATCTTTCAAGTTTTCATCTGGGTCACTTTTTGACATTAATTACTTTGCTATTTCATAAAGAAAAGCAATGAAAAATAAGAAAAGAGTAATATTGCAAAATGACTTTTTCACTGTAGCTAGTAGAGTATTTATATTAAACAAAATATAAATTTAAAATTCATGTTTTGGTTGGTGGAGCCATAGGTGTAAAATTCTACTTATACAGATGTAGATATGCAGGCATAATATTTGAGGCAAACAAAAGGAATTTGCAATGTCAACAAGATAATTAAGTTCTGTTAATTCCATATATTAAGGTGAACCATACTTTTATTTTTCAGCTTGCAATGAGAGGTCCACCAGGAGCTATGGGATTCACTGGACTGCCAGGACCACCCGTAAGTTACACAACAAAAACAACAGCAACAGCACTAACAAGAATATGTAAATATTATAATGGACATTCTTTTTTTTCTTTGATACATTAAAGGAACTAAACCTGGAATTATATTGTAGATTTGATAATGGATTCAATTGAAGTATAATTTATGTTATTATGTATGTTCTTGGTGGGAGTTGTGAATCATAGTATTTAATATTGATATTTCATTATATTTATCATTTGTAGGGTCCATCTGGTGAAAATGGCCCAAAGGGTGATATGGGTGATCCAGGGGAGCCGGTGAGTGTATTAGAATTCTCCTGTTTTCAGCAAAAATGAATTTGATTATAAGATACAAATGTAAAGAAAGGAGAAATATTCATGTCTCATCTTGTTTGTTTTATGTAAAATGTTTGGTCCAAATTGGTTAAAAATTCATTTCCTATTTGAAAAATGTGTATATCTTTTTTTTCTATAGAAAAAGTGATAGAATACCCAGTATTATGTTTAATCTCAGGTGAACCTGAAATCATACCTCTAATTTTTAAATTAAGTGGCACTAGCTATCACTGGGTTGTATTTAATTGTTTTTCTAGCAACACACGAAATGAATTATTATAACCAAAGGATTATTTGAAGTATTGGTCATATTTGAGACTGGAACTGATGGCATAGTCTCATTGAGAAATGCATAGTTATACATTTTCATATATCTCTATTGTATATGTATTAGAAGAACAGTGATATTGTGTTGTTGACAGAGGACATGGATTACATAATAGACATCATCGTCATCGATAATCTTGAACTTAATTTCAGGGATTACAAGGCCCAAGAGGGTACCTGGGCCAGGCTGGAAAGAGAGGAAGAAGGGTGAGATCTTCATGTGTTTCTATGGAAACGAATATAAAAACATACACCTATATTTGCTAACATCATAGCTATTAAAATTTCCAAACTCAGTACATATTGTAAAACTAGAATCTTACTTTTTTATGATTTTATTATCATATATAGTTACTCAAATATCAGTATAAAAAGTGCACTTTCTAACGAGATGCCAGATTTTATAATCAACATTTAAAATGTTGCATACGAAAATGTGTTGTTTTCCATGAATTCATGATTTTAATTTTCTTCAAATTTAACAAATGATTACTGTACCAGTAATATTTCTCTCTTTAGGGTCGACCAGGTTATGATGGGGAGAGGGGGCAGACAGGGCCTCCAGGAAACAAGGTAAATAATACAAATAATAAATTACATCTTGGATAATGAGTAAAATCTTAAAATGTCATCTTGGGGTTTTGAAAAAAATTAAAGCAACCTAAACTGATCAAACACCAATTGACCTAGATGAAATGTGCTCATCATAGATGTTAATTTGCCTCATGGTTTATTTTGCACCAATAAATACCCATATGCCTTATTGTAATTGAGCAATTTAGCCAACAACTTACATGTCAGTTGTAAAATATGAACACAAGGAAGTTATAAAGAAAGTAAAAGTAAATGCATTATTTTCAATTTAATTCCACAAAAATGGTTCTCTGGTTATTAATTCTCAATATAGACTGCCAAATGCACCTAATCTATAGGTGCTTTTATTTAGTTTTTGTTGATTAAAATATGAAGTTACAATCATTGGTGTTTTTTAAAAATAATTTTCACCCTGCTATTTATCTTCAGGGCGGTATTGGTTTCCCGGGACGACCAGGTTTACCAGGAGAGAAGGGAGACAGGGTGAGCACCTTTTTTTCTTTTTTTTAAACTTCACTAATGATGAATTTTTGGCAAACTGTTTTGCACTAAAGATTTGTGAAAGGAGGTGATTGTAAACTATTCATTGAATATCTGTACTTCCATGTGGAGATAATACGTCTGCAAACTACTTATGATAATTAAATGTACCTAATAAAAAGGAATTATTCTTGACAATCTTCAATTGATTAACTGAGATATAAATAAATTAACATTTATTTATTTATTTATTTATTTATTTATTTATTTATTTATTTATTTATTTATTTATTTATTTATTTATTTATTTATTTATTTATTTATTTCAGGGTATGATAGGTGTCACTGGTGAGAGAGGACCACCTGGTCATGATGGATCAAGGGCAAGTGATATAAATTGATTCAGTTAATATATGTTAGAGCAATCAGCATTGTAAAGTGAAACTGAGCTCCAGTGCCAAACTCTTGGATTTAATGATGTGCACTTACTTATTAACAATTTTTTGTCTTTTCAATAAAATGTGTCATTAATGGTTTGTCTCATTATGTGTTTTACTGCATGTTCTTCTCTCTCTCTCCCTCTTTCCATCTCTCTCTCTCTGCTTTAGCACTGATATTGAATTTCTTTCTGTAGGGTGTACCTGGTCTACCAGGCCCCCCTGGCGACCCAGGAGACATGGGACCAAGAGGGTTCCTAGGACCAAGGGGACCACCAGGACCAATAGGAAACCCTGTAAGTAAATGGTTTATGATTTGTTGTTACCATAGCAACTATATACAGTTTAATTGCATGATTAAATAAAAGACGGATGAGATTTTCCCGACTATTGATGAATTTCCTACTTTTTAGGTGTGTTGATGCTTAATTTTTCCGACCATCTGCAGATTTCTGACTTTTTGGGAGCCACAAAGGGTCATCCCTGAAAAGACCATCAAAATCAAAAACATGTAGATTTAATTTTATGCTATAATTTTTTTTTATTTCCCTTTATAGGGTATCCCTGGGGTGGAAGGGCCAGAAGGTCAAAAAGGAAATGCAGTAAGTAGATTGAAATAAAATAACAAAAGAATCTCACCAAATATGTTCAAAAGGTGACATTACATATATTTGATATGATGTTCATTTTTACTTTATTTTTGGGTATTAATTAAAAGGGAAAAATGAAAATTCCAATTGGCGAATTTACTTGTTTCTTGTTTTTTTTTTGCAACCATCTATGAGGCAAATATATGTATATGTCTTTCAACTAAAGATTTATCTGATTTTTCTAATACTAGGGTCCAGTTGGTCAGCCAGGGCCTCCAGGTTCTACAGGACCACCAGGAGCCAGGGTGAGTTCACTGTGGACTACAGCCCTGATGCTAATTCCATCATGGATTTGTAACTATTGTTATCTTAATTTTATCGAAGGAATAAAAACTGGAATTATTTGTTATTTTACAACATTGACTCTAAATTTTGTTGGTTTATAGTTGCAAATGAATTTGGCATATTTTATAGTGTACATTTGTCAAAAAGAGAGAAAAAAACAAATAGATGTTATACTATTGCTTTAGTGCCACTCATTGTTTGGTATTGTACTTCTTGGTTGTACTTCTAATTATTTTAGAATAAACAGTATTTGAGTTTATAGCCTACAATTTCACCAGATGTCTGTGATGTAAAAGCTGTATGAGACATTTTAGTTAATATGTTAAAGCCTGTTATTTGACTGATATTCCAGGGATCTCCAGGTCCAGTGGGTCCTCTCGGACCTCCTGGAATTTCTGGACCCAGTGGGAAGCCTGGTCTACCTGGAATGCCTGGAGTGGATGGAGAGATGGTAGGAAATAAATAGTTTTCTTTTTTTTTTTTTGGTGTGCTTAAAAGTCATGTGCAAAGTATTTATTTATATGCTGAATTCATCTAAAATGTATACATATTCTTCAAAGTGTTAATTTACCAATATTTTCTGTTTGTAGGTAAAAATATTCTTTAAAGTATTTATTAACAAGGTTTTTAGAAGTTAGTCTGGAAAATGATAAAATATTTATTTGACTCCAGGGACTGCCAGGACCTGAAGGAGCAACAGGAGATAAGGGGGAGAGAGTAAGTTTTTTTAAATATAAAATGTCAAGTATTTCTCTTATAATTATGACAATGAAATACCACAAACTTAAAGTTAATTTGAACAGTAAAAAAATCTGATATACACAAGATTGGCACCCAAATGATAAAAGAACAAATAATTATACTGAATAATCTCATAAATTTATGTCATTTTCTAAATGTGTATTTAAGGGAGAGAAGGGTACCCCAGGAAACTCAGGATACCCAGGCCCCAGGGGTATCAAAGGAATGCCAGGGACCAGGGGACCAGTTGGCGAGAAAGGAGAGAGGGTAGGTTTTGAAGTTTTTTGAAGAACACTCTTTATTAATTTGGTTATGAAGTGCAGTGTTTATTGATTCAATTTCATTTTTATAAATTTTTATTTGTTAGTTGATTATTTTCAAACATGAGAAAATGAGAAAAATGAGAAAAAATAATATTTAGAAAATTCAGGAAGTCTTTTTCCAAATGTTAAGTATTTTTGGTGTCTTAGTTTATATTTATTTATCTCAGACCTCAGACAAAGTTTTGTTTTCCTCTCAGGGTATCACTGGCCTGGATGGCTACAAGGGAGATCCTGGTCTGAAAGGTGACAAGGGAGAGAAAGGACCTCCTGGATCTAGAGGAGAGGAGGGCCCTGTGGGACCAAAAGTATGCTTAAACATGCCCTTTGGTTGAGACTTTACTAGATTGATTATTTTACTGATATAAAAGAATCATTTCTTCACAATATAAAAATTAAAACAAAGATACGGAATAATACCATTTGTGACCTGCTTTTGCTTCAATTTATATTTAAAAAAATGTTTTTTCTGACCACTTGTCCTGCAGGGTGACCAGGGACCTTTGGGTGAGGTTGGACCACCAGGACCAATAGGAGAGAAGGGTCAGATGGGTATTCCTGGCTACCCAGGCTATGTCGGACCACCAGGAGAGAAGGTATGCATGCAAATCTGGGATGAAAGATTATATTTTAAATCTATGAAATATCAGTTTATTTTGGATCTAATTTCAGTATTTTTGCATTATTTACATCTTTCAGTGTTGTCTATAACATAAAAATAGTAATATCCTTTCCAATTTAGTGATGAGTTCCACTTATTTTAAAAAATTGTTTTTATTTTTTATTTTAGGGTAACCATGGTCCCTCAGGTAAAAGGGGTCGTGATGGAGATAAAGGAGTAATGGGAATGCCAGGACCACAAGGTGATATGGGAGAAAGAGGACCAAGGGTGAGAATGATAGATTTTCTTCAATTTTTCTTTTCAATTTCAACTTGACAACTGTGAAAATGAAGTTGTAGGTATTTATCTAAAAAGTCACTTGTAATGGCTGTAAGGTATAATTTTTATTTCATCAGTAACATGAGTTATTCACTTTTTTATTTACTTTAATTGAATTATTGTAGAGAAAGTGAAAACTGACAAATCCAGCACTTGTGTAGTCATTATAAACAGAAGTATAACCAACAGCTGTAAGAAACTTATAATTTCATCAGACTTTCTTCAATTTTTCTTTTCAATAATTTAATAATTTGTAATGAGATGAATCATTGGAAGCAGTTTCATCACATGATATTTAGTATCAGAAGAGACCTTATCATACACATAATTTGTATGATCATCAAATTATATATCCATAGGGCCAAAGAGGAGAGCGTGGTAACATTGGTGCACCTGGACCCTCAGGGTTGAAAGGAGAGCAGGGGCCACCAGGACCCCCTGGTCCTCAGGGTGAGAGAGGACTGCCAGGACCCCAGGGAATTCAGGGTTATATGGGACCACCAGGATCACAGGTGAGAAATACCTGGAGTTATAAAATAAGATAAAATATGATTAAAAGTTTTTATATTATGTATAATATACATATATTGGCTTCATTTGTTATAAGAATACGAATATTAACAGGGACTTGCATAACTTGATCTTTAAATTGTAAAAATGTTGTGTATATTTTATTTTAATTGCCAATGGTTTATGTTTAGTTTTTCATCAGGATAAAACTAAAAGTGAATTTATTCAGATTTGAGTGGTTTAAGTTAGGTTTTACATCATAAGAATAAATACTGTCTAGAGGCCATGAAGAACCTCTGTCATAGTATAAGAATAAAGTAAAATTAAGGCTTTTCTTAGAGTAAATTCTCTCTTTTGTGATTGAAGGGATTCCCAGGAAAGGATGGCATGCCAGGATTACCAGGAGAGCGTGGACCATCAGTAAGTGTGGCAGTAAAAATGTCCTTGAACACAATCTTTGAAGTCTTTGTTTTATTACTGAAGTAGTTGTGTACTCTTGAATAAGTTACACCATTAGAATATGTCCTCCTCTATGGAATATGATATGTTTCCAAAATTACTCCATTAGAATATGTCCTCCTATGTAGAACATGATATAATATAAAAATATCCTCCTCAAGTATAGTCTGTGAACTCATCTCGTCTGTGCAAGTAGTTATAAATAAAAATGCAATAAAAGAACAGCTCCATCATTACACAGACTGGTATTATTTCACCACCAGGGTGATTTCTGATATATATTTTTCTGGTATTTATTGTAGGGTATCCCTGGCAATCCTGGGGCATCAGGTCCAGCAGGACCTGTAGGAAGACAGGTAATTGATTAGGATTTAGATTTTTACTTGCCAGAATGAGAAAATATAGTGCTAATTTTAAAGATTGAAAGAGTGTAATGAAGCCAACTATAAATTTTTAGGGCTATCAAGGAACAGTTATAGCAGTTTTCTGAAAACTTACACAAAATATTATGTCAATAAAGAGATTTAGAGTTTCATCTTTGTGGAAGATTTCCTCCCAGCTTTTTAATTGTTAAAAGAGATTTTAGAAAGTTAAGGTGATTTATATGAAATATTAACATTAAAGAAATTCAGAGTAGGGGTGAGGTTTTCCTGGATTTTTCTAGTCCCTGCATTGTAATGTGCTTAATATTTTGGGGAATTTTGAAAAAGTTGACTTTTATTCTCTAGGGACCCCGTGGAGACCCGGGAGCAGATGGGGAGAGAGGTTCACCAGGCATTCCAGTAAGTATTCCTTTGCCTCTACTGCCACACTGAACAATCTCAAAGAGTTGAGTAGGTAAAGTTTTTTTGACTTGTGGTAAAAACCTACACTTAGGGACATGTGCATGCATGTACATACTGGGGAAGCCCATAGAACCTTCCATGGCAATTTTCTTTTATGTTTTCTTCAAACTAATATTGGATGTTTTGTTTTTAGGGTCAGCCAGGTAACCCAGGACCCTCAGGAGAACCAGGGAAGGTTGGACCTCCAGTAAGTAAAAATAAATAAACAAATAATAATAATGATTAAAATAATTATAATTTATTCACCTTAAAATATAAAAATATGCATTAGAAATTGACTCTGCCTTAAAATTAAGACATTTTAGTTAAAACTATGTTAAAGATAAATATACAATGCATTTGTCTCTAGGGTCCAATAGGCAACCCAGGGCCAGCAGGGACGGAAGTTGGTGCCCCTGGACCCCCTGGTTACCCAGGGGACAGAGGGTACACAGGACCAGCAGTAAGTACTCATAATAATTCAACTGTCAGTATATGATGATATCAAGCGAAAGTATTTTTGTCATTAATCGATTTATTAATTGTTTTGCTGACTTTGCAGTGGAAACAGTACTGCTTGGTGATATTTCTTAGATAAGAAGCACTATAATTTATGTAATACTAAATTTTGTACTGTTTAGTTTGTTTTGTATTTTATCTTATTATAGAAATACTTTGAACACTGTCTCCTAGTCTGTAGGATCATTTTAGTGATTCATTATTGAAGTTGCAAATGTTTGTTATAGTGTTCTCTTTATAGTGTCATCTGTGGGCTCATACTTGCAGCTGCTTATATGTAACTGTATTGTACATCCTACAGTATTATGATGCTCTGTATTAATCTTTTAGGGTTTGATGGGACCTAAAGGAGATTCTGGACCCCCTGGGCCACCAGGACCATCTGTAAGCAAATCTTCATATACTAGTAGATTCTTGTTCACCCTGATGTACAGAGATTGTTAGAAACTCACCTCTGCTATCGGTATGGTCATCTTCATCAGAAACAGTATGTACTTCTGTATCATTATTTACAGTTCTAGTTAGAATATTGCCTCAAATTTAATTCTTATTTTTTAGGGTGCCAAAGGAGAGCGTGGGGAGGGTGGAGAGCAGGGGATCCCAGGTGTTATGGTAAACTTTTCAGATTTTCTTTTATTGAAAAAATTTGATTAGGGAAATGCAGTGTTCCCTGAGAGCCAATTTTGAATATTGTTAATTCTTTTTCAATTTATGAACGGTCAGATTGTCTTGCCTCATTTAAGTTTATTTCCATTTCCCAAAGAAATTTTGAAAAAATTATGTAATACGTACATCACCAATGCATTGACCTCATCAATATTCAGATATATTATATTAAAGACTACACTTGACTCTTGATTTATAAAATTTAACAATGAAATTTGTATAATTTTTTCCTACAATAAATGTGTATGTTATTGCTTCATAACCAGTGCATTATATTCAGACGTATTTAAGGTTATACATTGACCTTGCAGGGACGTCCAGGTCCTCCAGGGACACAAGGACCACAGGGACCAAAAGGAAACATGGGTATTGATGGTGTGCAGGGAGTGGGAGGCCCCATGGGTAGACCTGGACCAAGGGTAAGGACTAGCTAATACTTCATAGCATTTTATAATTCCGGCCCTCTGTTAACTCTGTTGTAAACCTGTTATTAATTTGCAAGCAGGAATTTTACGTTGCAAATGAGGTCTATTGTATATACTTTCTAGCAAACTTGAGGTGTTCCTGCAAATTTGTGGCAACATATTTCTAGCAACTCCTTGAGCCTGTTTGCTACAAATCCATTAAAATTTCAAATAAAATGTGAATAATGTTCTGATTGTTTATATGTATAGGCCTATATATTCCAGAGTTATTATTATATTGCATCATCTGTCATTTGTATTTCTATATTCCAGGGTTTTCCAGGATCTCCAGGCCCAGTGGGGCCACCTGGTGAGGATGGTGATAAGGGTTTCCCTGGAACCCCAGGAGCACAGGGAGCAAAGGGAGATGCTGGGGCCATGGTAATTTAATTTAATTGATTAATTAATTAAAAAGAAGAGTGTTATGAGAAGATAAAACATTAAAAGGTTGATGAACTAGGATATTGAGCAGTGAGATTAGAAAGTATTCAACCCAAAATGATAGAAACCAAGATCACAAACAAAAAAAGCAGCAGATTGATGCTATTTTTTGTCAACAGTACAGTAATATAGTGTTGCTATTACTAGGATATTGAGCAGTGAGATTAGAAAGTATTCAACCCAAAATGATAGAAACCAAGATCACAAACAAAAAAAGAAGCAGATTGATGCTATTTTTTGTCAACAGTACAGTAATATAGTGTTGCTATGGTGCACTTTCAGGGCCCACCGGGACCACAAGGACCCCAGGGACCAAGAGGCTCTCCTGGAACACCAGTAAGAAAACTTAACACAGAATTGCACACTGAAGCAAGAGAGTTCTCCAATATCACAAACCTCATCCAAGATTAAAGGAAATGAAATTATTTTCAATGTTGGGGAACTTGGATTCAGTTGAAATAGTAATCGCATCCATCTCTTCCCTTTTGAATTACTTTTCTTCTTGAAATTTCATCGAAATTGTTGGAAAACATTTTGAGCTTTCTTGTATACTAACACACAGGTAAACCAACTCCTAATTATTTAAGGATAGCTTCATTAGTTGGCAGAGATAATAACAGTGAATTTTCACAGTCAAGTTAACATTTACTTTCTTCCCCCAGGGAGTGCCTGGTGATATGGGTTTGAGAGGTCTTCAGGGTCCGGCAGGCCCCAAGGGGTCACAAGGCTTAACTGGCCAGCCAGGTGCCCCAGGGCCAGAGGGCAAGCAGGGCCCACCAGGTGCCACTGGTCAGAAGGGAGAAGCTGGGGATCCAGGCAGACAGGTAGGTAGTGGGGGAAAAATGAAAAACAAAAATGTAACATACTGTCCAAAATTCATAATTTCAGCATAGATATTTCCTATATTACTAAAAAGTCCATCAGAAAGTTACAAATTTAGAATCTTACAACTTTTACATTTCAGAGGGCAAATAAGCAGAAATAGCATTTAAAAGATTTTCTTTAAAAGCATATTAATCTATTTATAATTAGCCATTCTGTTTTAACCAAATAAGAAATGAATTGGATAAATACATTTATCTTTAGTCTTCTTAAGGGAAAGCAAACTTTTTTATCCTTGTGTTTGATCTGTATCAATATGTATCAATATCATTGAGTATCAATATGAATCAGTATGAATCCATATGTATGGATATGTATCAATATAAATCAATGTGTACCAATATGTATCTATATATATCATTGTGTTTCAAGGGCAACATTGGTAACCCAGGGCCAATGGGTGAGACGGGACCTCCAGGTATTGCAGGTGCCCCAGGTGGTATGGGGCCAGAGGGCCAGACGGGACCCCCAGGATCTAAAGGTGATCCAGGGACGCCAGGACCACCTGGAACACCAGGCAGAGATGGCGCTCCTGTAAGTGGGGAAACATATCAGCCCTGATAGCTTGAGTAGTGTAGAGAGCTTTATTTGTCTTTTTGTGAGGAATGATTTTCCCTTTCTTATTTTAATGCTTGGTAGATGTTATATTTTATGGTATATGTCTAATGATAAGAGTCTGAGAGTCATCTGTGAAAAAGTGATTAATGTGTGAAGTTTGAAGGTTCAATATATCCAATCAAAGCATACAATTCACTGAAGTTATGAGGTTAATTTGGATGTAAGAGGTAGAGAGTTAAATCTAATATTTCCATAATTTTGAAATTGCTTATGAGGACTGGATATTGGACTATATATTGTTGCATTACTTGCCTAAGAATATTTCATTTTTAAGATTAAAAAAATTTGAGATAAATACATTTTCTAAATATCAAGATAACAAATACATGGTAATTGAAGACTTGGAAACACCATTATGACAGCTTTTTAAATAATTTTCTGTCCTGACTACAGGGTTCTCGAGGTGCCAATGGTGGTAAAGGAGACCCAGGTATGCCTGGTGCACAGGGCCAGCCAGGGCCAGCAGGACCCAGGGGAGAGCCTGGAAACAAGGGGGAAACGGTGGGTGGAAATATGTAGGGTCTTATTTTAGCTATCAGTTTGCTGTTTTGATTTGTGAAAAAATATGTTCTGTCAGCTTTTTTAATTAAAAATATATATGTATTCTCACTTATAGTAAAATATGTTTACCTCAGTATTAATAAAAATACATGTATAACTTGATTGGCAATATTTTATATTTTATTTAATACTGTTTAGTTAAAATTTGCTTCTTTTTATATATACTTCTGTTTTATATATACTTTCATAATAAACATCCCCAGTTAGACTTTCCTTTTTCAATTTATTCATGGATTTTTTCCCATACACTTATGCATACATGTCATAATAATAATAATAGTAATAATAATAATAATAATAATAATAATAATAATAATAATAATAATAATAATAATAATAATTTCAGGGTCCCATTGGATTCCCAGGACCCCCAGGAGAGCCTGGCGGCATGGGACCTAAGGGAGAACCTGGTCTTAGGGGAGATGATGGCAAGAACGGGATACCTGGGCCAATGGTAAGATATGGTGTCTGGTCATCTGTTCTCATGATTTGAAATATACATGTATGTGTCACATTTTTTTCAAATGAAAAATTAATATTTGGGTCTGATTTATTTCATCATAAATGAATAACTGGATAGATAAGTAAAACATGAATTTCATTCACTTATAATCATTATTATTATATTTGGTGTTTCAACTCTAGGGTCCTCCGGGTCCAGCGGGCACACTAGGTCCCCAAGGTTCCAGAGGTAAACCTGGTGCCAATGGTATCCCAGGGCAGCCTGGAGCCCCAGGGGAGCCAGGAGAGAAGGGGGACAGGGGCTTCCCAGGAGGACAGGGATTGCAGGGGCCACCAGGACCACCAGTGAGTCTGTCTGTCTGTCTGAGTGTCTGCAAGGATGTTTGCCCATTTGGGTGTCTAGATGTGTGTCTGTTTGTCTTTCCTTCTGCCTATCTTCCTGTCTGTGTGTCATTTATTTATGTCATACTGTGTGCGTTTTTGAATATCACCTGTTCATGAAATAACTTTTGTTTGGGTAGTACCCGTATTGTTTTGTTGCACTGAGGTTTGACAGAATCTGATACAGGTAACTAGTATGTGAAAATAATCATTACTGAAAATGAACATATTAGAAAAAATTAAGTATTTGAAAATTTAAAGTAATTACCATACCAATTTTATCCCCAGGGTCACCAAGGACCCCCAGGACCCACTGGTGTCAGAGGACTTCCAGGACCAGCGGTAAGTTTATTGCATATGGAAAAATGACACTGAATATAAATCTTGTTGAAATCTAGATTTATGCCATTTCTCCAGTACTCAGAGGATTTATTGACCATGTCTGTCTCGTTTCTTCCAAGCACTGTACATATATACCTAACTGCCTGCCCCTGTCCAGGTCACTGTTTAGGGAGCTTGTATACATGTACCTCCTGATAAATCTTTATTAATTGCTGAATCAGTCTATTTTCTAAGTAGAAAAATGACTGCAAATGGTGTAGTGATGTGCATTAAGCATATGAGTTGATCAGTGTTTTATGTTTTTCAAAGTAACCAGCCCAGCCAATTTTGGTCATTTGCTTCAGACTGATTTGGCATTTTCTTTATTGAAGTAGTATTGAACTTGACTATTAAACTTTGATGTAGTTTTCTGAGGTCCACTAGGCAGAATGACCAGTGAGCTGCAAAGTTAATGTACATGTATGTAGAAGACTAAATCATACTCGTATTTATTATCTTAGGGTGAAGCAGGTTCCTCTGGACCACCCGGACCACCAGGCAAAGATGGCGCCACTGTGAGTTTTAATTGGACAAATGATCATACTTATAACTTGAAGTCTTGAAATTGTGGTCTTGATGCCAATTTTTTAATCTGCTGCTGAAATTTTTTGGTTTATAATTAAGTGGCTATTACTTGACTGTACCATTTAATAAATATTTATGAAATTGAATATATTTTCAATGTATCATTCAGGTCATTTCATACAATTCTTTGTCCAACCAAAGAAATGGAATTTATTTCTAGGAAAAAATGTTTTTTTCCTTGGCAGTTCCTAGTATTATAGTCATTTTGTTTAATTGGTCTCTTTTTCCCCCCTAAGGGCCCCAGGGGACTGCCAGGACCAGTTGGAGACCCAGGAGTCAAGGGAGAGAAGGTAGGTACCCCAATGACTTGTAACAGGTAACCGTCTCTGAACTTAAACCAGATGTATGTAAGGAACAGGAAAGACATAGCACAATACTCAAATACTAGAAACTTGGAGCTCAGAAATGGGGTTGTGGACCGTAACTTTGCGAATGGTTTTGGATATAACGGTATAATTTAGAGATGAGTGAAATGTGTAGAAATTTATAGGAAATTAATTTTTAGACATAATATATGTCTTATGCTTGTTGTGTGCCTTTAATTGTATTTCCTGTCAAACTCCTGTATAGAATACTCTACATACTAATGTTTTATTCCTCAATTTTATTCTTCAGGGGCACCAAGGTAACATTGGCAACATGGGAGAGATAGGAGAGACAGGACCTAAGGGTGACCCAGGAAAACGGGGACCACCAGGAGCAGTTGGACCCAAGGGGGACACTGTAAGTTAACCCCCCCCCCTCACCACCACCAATACAATAATCATCATCCATTTCAAGAGAGTGAATGGTGTGATTAATCCATGAGTGACATCACATAAGAAGACAAATATATATAATACTTCTTACAAGGTAAAACAATGATCCAACATTTAAATGGGTACCACCCATGGACCAGTCTGTTGGGCCACTGATGCCCATTTCCCTGTTAAAGCTCAATGGTACCAATTACAGCATTGGATCATTGTGTGATTTCCTTGTAAGTCCAGTGTCAGGTGTATTTTCCCTCATATATAATATTCTATTTTGTTTTTTTTTTATTGATATTCCATAATAAAATTAATTTATTTTTAATAATTATGTGATTGTTGTAGTAGATGTAAGTTACTAAGTAGAAGGTGTCAGATTGACATCAGAACACATTTGTGAGTTTGAAGAATCTTTTGTTTGTGACAAAAGAACATGTATTATCTGATATTATTATGAAACTAATTATTATTTCCACATCATGTTTCATTTGATATGTCTGTTTGTGTTGTAGGGCCCAGATGGACCAACAGGACAGATTGGTAGTGATGGACCTGCAGGTCCAATAGTAAGCTAACTTCCTTCCATACATTTTATCTCTCTTCTTTCTTTGCCAGATTGACTGTACTTTCGTATAAAATATCAGAATTTCTTGTTGGATTCCGAGTGAAGTAGTCTTCATAGAGTGTTTCCAAATCTGCTGGATTGGCTGTGTAGTTATATTTTAAAAAGATGTATTTTTCAATTGATTTTAAGCAACTTCTTAGAAAAATAACTTGATTTTTTAGATTTTAAAACTTCCAATTAACAAGCCAATATGAAGTAGAAGATTTGGTACCAGGAAAGTAAATAAAATTCATAATCTGTTAATCTGTACTTTTTTAAGGGTCAAGAAGGAAGAGTTGGACCAAAGGGTGAACCTGTAAGTTACATCGTTTCATTGTATATAGAAATATGAATGCCATATAAAATAAGAACAACATTGCACTATTTATATGCTAATGTTTATATTGATTAATTTATCACTTTTATCTCATTGAATATTTTTATAATTTAAGATTGCTTATAGCTAATTTATACTGTACAAATTGTTGTTGGTTACTCAGATTTTCTACTAGTTACAAAAGTGTTTTAAAACTTTTTAATTAATAAATCATCAATTTCTTAAGAGGTGATCCCTAAAAATATTGCCCATACAGGCAGTATAGATCTATTTGTTTGCATAACAGGGTGTTGCAGGTCCCCCTGGTCCAGCAGGCCCACCTGTAAGTAAAACTTTTCATACCTTTATCCTCTCTCTCTCTCTCTCTCTCTCTCTCTCTCTCTCTCTCTCTCTCATACAACACAGTAGGTAGACATATTTAATTTCAATCAGCAGATAATATCAAACTTTTCTTCTAAAATTGATTTAATTTTTATTTTGTGAGGGAAATATGAATTTTGAACCAACACAAATTCACTGTATTTGTATTAGATGCTGTATTTGTAGCTGTCGTACATTTCATTTATTAGTTCATGCATGTGTTGTCTGTTGCATGTTGTTTTAATGCGTACATTTGGATGTGTCTTTTTCAGGGTCCACCAGGTCCACCTGGTCCTGTAAGCGAGAGTACCATCATTCCATCTGAATACCTCAGCTACAGACTGAGGAGAAGCACCAAAGAGAGAAAAAAGAGGGCAGCAGGACCAGATTTGGCCATGTACGATCAGTCCCCTACAGTAAAAGAAGAGGTAAGTTTAACTTGTGGTATATTTTGATTTAGTCAAATACTTGAAAAACAGGGAAAATGTGTACATTAGCACCAAAACAGTGATTAGATGATAAAAAAATGAAAAAATGATTAAAAATTAAGGATGTACTTCTTTAACATCTCCTTTTACTGCATACACTAGGAAGGTGTCACTCTGACTCTGTAAAGAAACAGCCCAGGTTGTCTGTAATTGGTGTACACACCAGTCACTTGTTTCAAGACACTCCACTCCAGGTTGCATAGCACTATATGTTCCTTTTATGGCCTTTACATTGTATAAGCCACAACAAATGTTATCATATTGTCTGTTTAATCCACTCATACAAAGCACCCACATGTGTCTTTCACATACAACTTGATGAATTGCAACACATTATATCTATTCCATGTTTGTCTTCATACAGATAAATAAAAAGCAAGACACTGGTCCAAATCCAATGTCTCCAACACTGACGAGAATAGTGGAGTCCATCTTCCAACACATTGACCAGCTTACAGAAGATATAGAAGGGATGAAGTTCCCCAAGGGCAGCCGAGACAACCCAGCCCGTACATGCAGAGACATATACCTAGGTCATCCGGAGTTCAAGGATGGTATGTCGAAAAGAAAAAGTTGGAATTAAATTGTCCAGGTTTTTGACAGTGGTACCTTGAGTTACAACGTGAGGTCAGACAATTAGAATTGAATGACATGGTGCTTGAAGTGGGATTTCCACAGCATATATGTTGAAACAGTTAGAATTGGATGGCTTAGTGCTTTATGTGGCATGGTACCTGAAGTTGCATTCACACTGTGTATACATTGTGGGTTGAAACAATTGGAACTGAATGATTTAGGAACTAGACAAAAGGCCTTTTGAATAATTTTTGAAACTATTCTGTTCTACTATCCTTAGGACTCTTTTCCCAGACCCATTTTTGATTAATAATGTTTTGAGAAACAAACCTCTGGTGTATAAGGGGTTATTTTGCTGTCTTAAGACAACATATTTTTGATGACCACTGTTGTTCTTCACAGGCTGGTACTATATAGATCCTAATTTGGGTGTGGCCAATGATGCTATCCAGGTCTGGTGTAACTTGACAGCTCATGGAGAGACATGTGTCTATCCTGACAGAGAAAAGAGAATGGTAAGGGTGCTGGCATCTGAATAAAATTTCCCATTGGAAAATTAGAGATGATACACTTTTTATCCGTTTGGATTATTTCCCCCTTTGATGTATGTTTGATGTAAAGAGAATTTAAATTTGAACGTTGTTAGATTTTGATTTGGGAAGATGTTTGTCCATCCAGACAGAGAAAAGAAAAAGGTAAAACAAGCTTGTTGTTAATATTGGGTTTTGGAAAAAGGGGGGTTAAAAGAAAGCAAGAGAAAAGGAATGAGTTTATACCAAATGGCATACAATATAATAGTGGATTAGTGGTTATTGATAATGTCCATTTTTTCAGATGATTCCCAAATTCTGGGAGAAAGCCAAAGAGGTTGACAACCCAGACAAGTGGTTCAGTGAGTTAGTGGGTGGTTTCAAGGTGCGTAATGCTTTCCTTGCTTTTCTACATATGAAACAGAATAGTTGAGGATACCTAAAAAATGACACTTTAAAGACATCGATCTCCATATCCATTTTACCAGTTTAACATTCCCCCCACCCCAGCCCCTCTTCCCACCACCACCACCACCACCACCAAATGTTAAAATTATGAAATTATAAAATTAGTCATTAACCACTGTGGTCTGCTTTGGACCAATGGACTCTTAGACCTTGGAAGCTGAAAGCATCATTTCCATCCTCCAGATAAGTTATGCCAATGATATCCAGTTGGTGTTCCTTCGACTGCTGTATTTCCAAGCCACACAGAAGTTTACTTATTTCTGCACCAACTCTGGGGGTTGGTACGACCAGGAGAAACAGAACTACGACAGTGCCATTATGCTAGAGGGCGCCAATGACTATGAGTGGAATACGAGCAAGCTGACACCGAAAGAAGTTATATTTGATGGCTGTTCGGTATGAGTATCAGAACATTTTGTTTTGCATTTAATACATTCAATAACTTTTTCTTTTGCTGCCAGTTTTTTTTTAAACTTCCATCCATAAAACTATCATTTCAGCAAGTGATTTACTAGTACCCATCCTTTTACTTGGATATCTTGCTAGAAAAAATATCTACCATTTTTAGATAATGACATGGCTTACTTTCTTTGGAATAACATTTCAATTTTGTATGTAATTTGCTGACATTTTTTTCACTTTCAGAATGGCCGATCAAATAGCTATACAGTTTTCCAACTAAAGACCAGTAAACTAAACCAATTGCCAATAGTTGACTTTATGCCGAAGGACTATGGGCAACCATGGCAACAGTTTGGATTTGAAGTGGGGCCAATTTGTTTCCGATAAGCACTAATGTTGCCCTATCCCTGCTCACATGGAGTGACTCTTGATAGCTGAATCCTAGAATCTGACAGGGGTTGATAAAGGCAAGGAAGGACTTGTTTCCTGCTTTGTGATTTCAATCCGAGTGCCAATTGAGGAAAAAAGTTGTAAATATGGCATTGATTTATGGTCAGCAAATGATCTTTTTTGAGAAGTAAGTTATATGGTATGGATATTTGATAAGAAGTGAAATAATGAGCGAAAATATTCATCAATATATTAGATATTGTTTCATTAAATTTTTTTGAGTGAATAAGTGGACTATAAAGGCTCTGAGATAAAAAGATCCACCTTTCATTTCCAGTTTGCTTAAGTCATCTACATAGGCAAAGAGAAATGTTTCACATCTTATCTGTTCTTGCCACATTGAAATCACAAATGCAGGAAGCAAATTATTTCTGTTCTTGTACATTCTCTAATAGAAGGAACAGCTTGTTGATGAGTTCTTTGTTTAAGGGCATGGGGGAGCAACAAAGTGATGTATGATATGTGTAGAGATGAACAGCTGGGCTTTCAGCCTTCTAGCTTGCCTGGCCAAGGTAATTGCGCCCATAAATCGTGTTCTTGACTAATTAATGGCCATCATAGCATCTTTTGAGGGATGTCCATATAAAGTGAGTGGACTATTATACTAGAACTACATTGAAAACACTGCAAAACATAAAATAGTTGGATTACTGCAATTTTTTCAGCAACTTTTTCAACCAGTCAGACATGGCTGTGAATATAGAATTTGATAGTTTACTAATATATAAATTACTATGGAGAAATAAGGCCATTCCCTAAACACTCTGTTTGCCAATAAAAACTCTCTCTATTTTATCTCTCTCATCTGTTCCTCCACTAAGCGTGGCTTGTCTTGGTTGAAAAAGTCATGTGAACCAAGACAAGCCACACTCTTAAATCTGACAGAAGCGTACCGTTATCTTGGTGAGGTAAGCTTTAAGGTGTCTCAACCATTGCATATGACAACTTTGCCTTGCTTGCCTTTGGTTGCAAGAATTAATTGCATTGTGTATATTTAATGAAAGGTTTTGGACATAGAAAGCTAACTAAAATCTGGTTATTTTTATCCCAAGATCGAACTGACTTTAAAGGGGGAAAAAAAAAGATGAGCAAGACAAAGTTGCAATGTGCATTGTAAATGGTAGGTACATGATTGGCCAGACTTGAGTCAAATACATTACATGAAAAATAATATTTTATTTGACCCTGAAACTTGTAATTTCAAAGTTCCATCCAATTAAAAATGCATATAGGTATTTATGTTTTTATTTAATTTTAGATGTTCCATTCCATAAATTCTCAATTTTAGTGTTTAATGTCCAATGTTCATGTGCATTCTTTTCACTGACAATTTCAATAAGATTCCACTTTTTATTTTGAACATTAGATAGAGTACAGTGGGTACATTCGTATGGCTCTTGCTTCTGACCAAACAGGCACCTACTGGCTTATATTATGTGTACCATATAGACGAGCTAAGCTTTATTGGTTTGATGCAATAAACTTATTAACTTTTACACCGTTTTTGATATAGTGTAAAGTGTAGCCTAGAGACTAATCTGCAAAACAGAGTTCAGTTAATCACATTATATAATAATAACTTCACTATTAGCAATGATGGTGTATTGGAGATTTCAAATGGTGCTATACAGTATATCTGTGATTTTTAGATTCTGCAGAGAACTTGCATTCAGTTATTGTCAATGGGACACAGTTTCACAAAAGAAAGTAGCTCAAAAGTTCAATGCAACTTCAGTTCTGAAAATTTTGTATCTGTGTTGTCCTTGGATATGTCTGTATTAGTCCACTAAAATGAAATAGCTATTGGTCTAAAACATCATTAGTGTCTTACCTATAGTAAGGCAGAGCCGATATCCCTATTTAAATGGACTATCTGTGGTGTATTTTGGGTCAAGATAGATAAAAATTTTATAGGCTTTTTAGTTGGAGCGAACTTACAACATGCCTTCTTTTATGAAACTGGCCCCAGCTAGGGCTTTTCCCTGTGGTTTCCAATATGAAGGGCAGGCAATGATGGCTAAGGCCAGCACACATGGCGAGCTCTCTGCTGAGCTTCCAACCTCATGAGCCCAACAATGTCAACTCATTGCTCACGTTTTGGTGAGTTTTATTTTTGCCTCAGGAGATATGATACTCAGAAACATGTACTTGCTATATATCTCAAGTTGGGGCACATGCAGACCTTATGGCTCAGACCTTACATGGCAAGTAGCTCAGCACAAAGCTCCAAGTGTGTGTTGAACAAAAAAGAGAAAAATTCACTGGTGGTAAACAAATGTGTAAACTCCATTCTGCTAACATCTGGAATAATAAACTCCAAATTGTCTTTTAGTTTCGCAGATTGCCCAGTCTTCCATATTGAAATCTGCAAGGAATGAGAACAAGTAGGAATCCACCCAGCTCAAATGATTTTGTAGAGCATTGCAGTAGTTAAGGCACAAGTAAAAGTGACAATCAGGTCTCACCAAATGCAATTATCTGTAATCTGAACAATTTGGGGTCGTATCCGTCTTTGATGCGACGAAAGTTCTCACCCAACAAGAGAAGGGATTGCTAGTTTGCCCCTTTTTAAAGCAGAATTTCTTGTGAAACACCTAAGAAATTGGGCCCACTGTTTTGGAGGAGGGGCACAGTAGTCAGATTGGTTAAAGGCCAGGCTGGAAAACAAGATAACACCGTTTTTTGTTTTATTTTTAATCGCTGCATTTTTTCAGTGAACACTTGTAGTAATAATTTCAAGAATTGCTTTGGGTACTATGCCAGGGTACTCTGTCCAGTGGGCTTTCATAAGCAGAGGTGATACCACTAATATTATCAATTCCACCTTGTTTGTGTTCATTAAGTCACAGCAGTTTTACTCTTTAGATACTAATCATAGCTATTATGAAGCCCTTTATTTTTATCAGTAATTATATACCGACACTTGCAGTGTTTGAGTAATGTGAGCGCTTCTGTGTATACATGTTGTTGTCAACCAATACATTCATTGACCTGAAAGATCCCAAATGTCTTTTTTTTTTACTATAGGTTTATTGGAAGGTTTTGTTTGATAAAAATGCATGCACATTTTGAAAAGAGGAATGGTTGGATCCCATCTCTATCCAAGCACCATTTACATTTATTGTGACAATTGTTATAATTATCTACCAAGGTTTAATTGAACAAAATACAGGTTGAATTGAAAACTAATTGTAATATATTGTAAACTTTTATTGTACTATGGACGCAAAATTAATTTTTGATTAAACACATTCTGAGTAAAAGTAAGTTTCTTAAAGAAACAGCAACATAAATATTTTTTTGCATTTCTTTCAGAACAGGTTTTGGTTCAAATATTGAATCCAAAATATGAGGACTGATCTACACATTCAGTCTGAACTCGACTCCTGGCATGGCCATAGAGCCTTCTTCCAAATGTTTTTGTTTAGCATCTGTATATTTGCCAGCTTTGCTGCCTAGTACTTCCATCATGTTTCAGCCTGGCCTCTGAACTGCTGTTGGGTTTCCCACTGCCAGTGTATTTAAGCTGTATCACTGCCATATTGTGGAATAAACTTTGTAATGACTGGCATCAAGTGTTTGTTTTACTGCTCTTCAGGTGGCCTGGTTCACAAAACAACTTAATTTTGACCTAAAATTGGTATTAACTTTTTAAACTGAAAGTTGGTATAAACTTTAAGACCATCCTACTAAACTGGGGGAATAAGCAGTTTCTTGTGGTTCAAAATAGGCCGAAATTTTGGTTTGGAGAGTTAATATCAATTTTTGGGTTTAAGCTGTTTTGTGGACATGGCCCCAGTGTTTCAATAATTTATGTCCATTGCATTTTATAATTCTTCATGCTGTCCCATTTGGTAAAACTTCTTCATAACTTTGCACTGTATGAATTCAAAGAGAGAGAAATCCCAAATGCACTTAAAATGTACAGCAGCAGCAAGATGTTTTAAGGAAGAGAGAATGTAACTATAAGAGAGAAAATATGGTGGAATGCCCCTTAACTTAAGCCAGCATTTGTATCCTACTCCCCATCATCTAGGAGGTGCAACATAAATAAAACAAATGAATAATACTAGTAATGCTGATAAATTTCTGAGTGAAACACACCGACTACAATTGCAGCTTGACTGCATTTGTTACATATCAATGTTTAATGCACTGTTAGCTATACCATGAACTTCACATCTGATGGAGGCCAGTCTTCATTTCAACCCTCAGATAATCATCTAGATATGTGGCACAGTAGAAGAGTATGTGACACAGGGGTGGATTTAGGCTGTCTTCCAGGTCTTCCAGAAGACAGATTTTAAACTTTACATTGACGGGTGTCTAACTTTTCTGTCGGAAGACGGTCAGAAAAGGAGGATTGACCAACAAAAATAATTAGGAAGTCTGTAAGAAAATATCTCTGGATCTGCCCCTGCAAACATCCTTAATACTAGTAGACCCATCTGAAATTTGTGATTGGCATGGTGAACTCAATTCAAATTGGGTTTCTATGGATATTTGAAAATGAAGATGCTGGGCTGCTTCGGTTCCAAAACTTGGCCTAACATGACCATATGAGGTACATTTAATACCCAGTTTTATACCATATGTTACAGTAGAAAGAAGTGCACCCTTTATTGGATTACTTATTGGAAGGTAATGTAAAAATAAGACAATTGTCACAGTACGTCAGAGGACAAAGAAGCCTCTTGGTAGCCTGAACAATTTTTATTAACAGAACAGGTTTGTAACTAAAAATGAAGCTGAAAAAAATTCAACAAAAAAGCTCACATTTTGCAGACTGAAACTGACCTATTCATTTAAAAAAAAAATCTTATCAAATTGCCCATTTGACAATGTCATTGTAGATTTGCAAGCTTCTGTTTTAAATTTTGTCAAAACAAAGCTTATGAATTTTGGCTCTGGTTTTGTCACATTTTCACTTCTCTTTGCATGGTACTTTACTAACCCTACCAGAAAAAATGTAAATCTTGAAAAAGTGAGTAAAACTATTGAGTCACAATATATATACTTGAAGGATAATCTGAGGTGGAAATGCATTCCATGCCATTTTTTGGTGAAATGGTGTAAAAATCGGTACAATAATTATTCTGGACAAAAATTTCCAGAATACTAAATCATGAAGCTGTTCCAACATGCAGTTATACAAAAACTTGGTACATTTAATTAAGGTTTAATTGTAATACCCTATATGACACCCCTCAGAACACTTTCTTTCAATACATTATGTAAAAATTGTATGCCAGCGAAACACTAATACAAAATGCAGCTGTTCAGAAAATGAATAAACTAAAAATTCAGTTTCTCTGATGCGAAGCCACTGTCCAGCATGGCGCTATGTTTGGAGGACTGCCGTGAGCCGTCTACACTGGCAGAGTCCAACATCCGCTGGTGAAGCAAACTGGTGGAGGTCACCAAGGAAGGGTGACCAAGTGGCGCCAACTGACCACAGACCCCTTCCAGATCATCTCCAGTCAGGTCAGTCTGGACCTCATGGTCCACCTGCTGGACTTTGCTCACCGTTTTCATGTTATTGTTACCTACAGCACCACCAACTACATGCCCAGTCCTATGCATGTACTGATTATTGACACCAACTTGAGCAGACCCCACTGCATGCTGGGAGGAAGTCACATGACAAACATGTGACCCCAGTGCTGGTTTTGATTGGACAATTGTGGGGGTGATGAGTGGAGAATGGCGTGGACCAAAGCTTGATGCTGCTGCCATGGGAAGAGTACTTGGGTAGATGCCAGCCTGGTAAGGCGAGAAAGCCGAACCTTCGTGTTTGCCAAGACTTTGTGGACTGTGTGGAGAGTGAGTGGCGCTCTCTGGAGGTGTGTTGCCATAGGGACTGTCATACCTCAGGGAAGATGTCGCTGGGCTCGCTGTGCGACTGTTGTTGCTGCTGTTGCCAGCATCTGGGATTTAAATAAAAATCAAGCCAATAAATGCAGACAGCACAGCTTAAACTGAACACAGATATAGTATTTGGTCAAACATTAAAGTAATAATGCCTTATAAACAGTAGCCTTGCTTCTACTCTTTCAAAAATGTTTATGCACTAAGATTCTCTAATACTACTCAATGTTTGATGAATTTAATTTACATACCATGCTGAGCTTTGTCCTGTACTTTTAACCTGTCGATCTTATCACTCAGTTCTAAAATATGGGACTCCTGTCTCCTGTTGATTTTTTTCATAACCTGGTATCTTTCCTCCATCGCCTGAGGAAATATGATATATTTTGATAGGAGGACTTTGGCATACAAAAGAGTCTTTAATGCATACAGAGATCATTTTACCTTATACACCAAAAAGAAAATAAAAAACTCATCACCTAAGATATGATCTATCAAAAACTCCCGAGAAAATTACAATCCATAAACTCATTTTTCCTTTGTGAAATGAGGGTTTTTCAATCAGAGTACATGATAGTTAAAGCCCACAAGCTGCAATTAAACATTTTATGTAAGAGGATAAAGGTATTCTTCAATTCTTCACTATACTATTATGTCTATGATAAGTTAACTTTGTGACAATCTGTCTGTAGCATAGGCCTATACTGGACATAAAACATCTTAAATGATATGCTAGCACAGGCCTATGCTGGACAGATTCATCCCAGCATAGGGCTCTTAACAGAGAATCTGTACTGTACACACCTTGATTTGGTCTTTATGCCTGTTCTTGACTCTTTCCAAAGTTTTCTTTTCCTCAGCCATGGCCATTTCTTTACTTTTCAACAGTTCCTCCACCTCGGCCAGATGACTCCTGTAGCCCTCCACCTCCACGGTCTTCTGGTCCAGACTTAGCCTGATATCTGAGGTAGAACAGACAAGTTTGACAAGTTTGGGATAATACACTGTTAGCTGTGCAATATATGGCAGAACACCTCAAGGGTCTGTGATATATATCACCAGAGGGTAGCAGTATGACATTCAATGATGATCAATTTAGAAATTTGATATCCATCAGAAAAACAGAGATCAACTTGATGTTTTATAATAAAATAGATTCAGATATTAAGTGTGGGATATACACTGTCACCAAAACCATAAATAGAAGTGTTCAAGGCATACATCATGAGAGTGTATTATTTGCATACATACAGAGAGAAAGTCAAACAGGGCCGTACTACAGGGCACAGAAAGGACACCATCCAGTGTAAAGGGAGCTGTCAGAGTATACCTGTACATTTTACATGCCCACTGGACAAAATTTTTGTCATTACTTTTTAGACATTTGAATCATGACCCCCTTATTGACCAAACGCAGTACACTTACTGTTATTCTCTGCCTTGTATGTGTCTATCAAATAAAGAGTCTGCGGGCGAACTTCCTTCTGCAGAATCATAGCCTCTTGACGCTCCTTATACTGCTGTTGAAGCTCTCCCATTAATAAAATTTCTTTATTCAGATGATTAACCTGACAAAAAAAGACATAAGTAATGTCAGTCTACCAAGAAAACATATACTGTAAGATCTATATCAAATATACCAATTTCTTATCTATATAAGGGTTCAAAATATCTTTAATGTTCCTAAATCCTCCAAAGCAGGTTTCTCTAATTCTGGTATTCATATTAATATTCAATTTTTTCCCCTATAATTATAATGAAGAGTTATTGCTGACTGAAAAAAAATTAAGAAATTTAGTTGAAGGGCACAACTTTATGTTCAATACTTGGTGTTAAGCTTCATTAATTTATTGAAGGAGATCAACACAATTAGGTCCACACATAGAACCCAAAAAATTATTCCATTACCTTACAATATTAACCCCGTTACAGGACAATGAAACTTTTCAAAGCTTTTTACCTGCTCTTGAAGTTCCTGAGTCATATCTGCTTTTTCCTGGGTCAAACCCAACTGGGTTTCCAGCTGAAATATCTGGGCTTTCAGGCTGGAGATTTCCTTGAAAATACCAATATCACTCTTTGAACATATACTTGAGTTTTTCTCTGGCCATATTGCATTTTCTCTTTGCTTTTTTGCCATAATTGCTTTTTTTCATAAATAGTAGATTTTGTAGTTTTAGTGCTGTTGGAAAACTTAAATTATCTTCTAAGTTTAATGACCATGCAAGAAGTCGGCATCTTTTTTCCAGGTCTTTTTTTTATCAATATTACATACAATCTTCATATTAACAGTAAAAAGTTGCTAGCACCTTGGTTGCATTCAAGAGGGCTTAATCCAATGCCTATTATCTATATCCAATACCCTTGGGTTTTCAAATCAGGGTTAAAACCAGTAGGATCTAAGCCTTAACAAATTATTATAAAATCTACCCTTTAAATTTTTATTGAAATTAGATAAATATATGGAAAATTTACCCACACATAGCTTACCTCTTGCAAATTATCATTTTCCTGCCTGTTGACGACTAACATGTTCTGTAGTTCTTTATTATTGTATTTCAGTGTTTCATTATCTTGAGTGAGTGATCTGAAAATGTAGAAAGATGTGAATTAATCCTAACAACTAACAGATGACTACCAATCTTACTGCCATGAGTTCAAAATGAAGTAAATAAATAAATAGGTAAATAAATGAATAAATAAATATATAAATATCATTTCTCATTCTTGACCTGTATTAATCAGGTATCTAATTACAGTACTGTATAAATAATTCAAATCTTAAAGAATATATTCCAGCACATTTATTAGAATTTGTTTCTGAATTTGTCATACTACAAAGAATTTTAAATCAAATATACACAGGAGGTACTGTATTCAATTTCTGACTCATTAATTAATTATATTATTTTTTCAAATACTTTAGTTTCTGTTCTCCTCCTTTCTTCAGATTGTCCAAGGCTTCCATGAGGTTCCTGTTCTCCTGCCCTTTGGAGTTCAGAGTTCTGGTCAGGTGCTGGATCTCATCTTCCTGAAGCTTGAGCTGATCTCCCTGAAAAAGGAAACAAAAACAAGCCTAAGGTGTGGTCTTCAGAGAACCTGTGGCAGAAATGGTCTACTTTTTGCCTGATAAATGTGAGATCTTTCCTTGGAAGCTTTCATCTATTACCCACGACCTTGATCACTCTGATACATAGCGTAATTGGTGTAATTTTATGGAGGGAACTACAGGAGTTCAGCCCTCTGTGTGTCTAGTATGATGATAATGTAGGTGGTTTATATGTGTGCATACCTGTGTGTTTGAAGGACTTGTCGGAATGCCTAGTGCATAAAAAACTCAACTTTTCTCACATTTTTGTAATGCATTACTGTATTTTATATGTGTTTTGGATAATTAACCTTTCTGGTGGATGAAAATGGAACCAAATATTAATGTTTACCATCAAATCTAATAATGGTGTCCCATATTTATTAGGAAAAAAAAAAACATTTCTTCATTTACCCTTGCTACATTCTGTTCTTCTATCTTAGCCATTTTCACAACTTTCCCCAGCAACCTCCTGTTCCTGCGTGCATGCATCTCACGCTTGTGGCGTTCGTACATCAGCTGGTTGTGAAGCAGGAGCGTGCGGCCTTTCAAGATGTTGATTTCATCTGGAGGTGGCAATCCTAGAATGAAACACTCATTTTAAAAACAAGAACTAATTCCTTAAAAAAAATCTTATTTATGAACATTACCAAAAATTGTCTAAAAATATACAATACACAGCAATTACAAATTTTAAAGTTTATTCCTTGGCATGCTTTCAAATTATATTTGATCCCTCGGTTATCATCACTGCATGGTATATCATCTAATTCTAGATAAGTGATATGCTCTAAACTCTCTGCCTCTACTGAAACTCATGCTAAGTGAATTCTATAAACCAAATAACTACAAAATAATATTCAATTCTAACATGATCATGGTTACTTGAAATGCAAAAGCCCATTCAAACAACAGCTAAAATCATTACCAATACACCTTCACACTAAAATACATGAGTAACNCACATTATTATTAAATCTGCCCTCTAAATTTGAATTGTAACAAAATAAATTGATGGAAACTTCATCCACACACAGCTTACCTCTTGCAAATTATCATTTTCCTGCCTGTTAACAACTAACATGTTCTGTAGTTCTTTATTATTGTATTTCAGTGTTTCATTATCTTGAGTGAGTGATCTGAAAATGTAGAAAGATATGAATTAATCCCAACAACTTACAGATGACTACCAAACTGACTGCCATGAGTTCAAATTAAATAAATAAATAAATATAATTTCTCATTCTTGACCTGTATTAATCAGGTATCTAATTACAGTACTGAATAAATAATTCAAATCTTAGAGAATATATTCCAGCACATTTATTAGAATCTTTTTGAATTTGTCATATTAACAAAAATTAAAGCAAATATGTATGGGGGGGGGGGGGGGGGGCTCTACTGTAGTCCATTTTTCACTGATTAATTAATTAATGTATACAATTTTTCCAATACTTCAGTTTCTGTTCTCCTCCTTTCTTCAGATTGTCCAAGGCTTCCATGAGGTTCCTGTTCTCCTGCCCCTTGGAGTTCAGAGTTCTGGTCAGGTGCTGGATCTCATCTTCCTGAAGCTTGAGCTGATCTCCCTGAAAAAGGAAACAAAAACAAGCCCATGGTGTGGTCCTCATAGAACTAATGGCAGAAATGGTCTACTTTTTGCCTGATAAAAGTGAAATCTTCTTTGGAAGCTTTCATCTGTTACCCTTGGCCTTGATCACTCTGATACATGACAGTGATGGCGTAATTTTTCAGCTTGTGTTTGATAATTTTCATTTAGGAACTCGAAAAGTTCTGCCCTCTGTGTGTCTAGTGATGATGATGATGATGATGATGATTATGTGCGTATACTTGTGTGTTTATGCCTGAGTGTTTGAGGGACTTGTTGGAATGCCTAGTGCATAAAGCAATCAACATCTCTCACATTTTTAATGTATAGCTTTATGTCCTAATTATATCCTTTTTTATCAGAAGATTCTAAGCTTGAATTTTCATGATTACCATGTTTTGAATATTTAACCTTTCTGGTGGATAAAAATGGAACCTTATACAAATATTGTACATCCAAGCTAATTATGATGCTCCATATTTTAAATTCTGAATTCATTATGAAACAAAAAACATTCTTCACTTACCCTTGCTACATTCTGTTCTTCTATCTTAGCCATTTTAACAACTTTCCCCAGTAGCCTCCTGTTCCTGCGTGCATGCATCTCACGCTTGTGGCGTTCGTACATCAGCTGGTTGTGAAGCAGGAGCGTGCGGCCTTTCAAGATGTTAATCTCATCTGGAGGTGGCAATCCTAGAATGACAGATCATTTTAAAAACTAGAACTAAGGACCCCCAAAATTCATTTGTATATACAATAGAATCTATATAACTCATCTTATAACTGGAATAATCATTATTGTAAATCTCCAATAAAACCTTGTGAAATGGACTTTTTTTCACATTAGCTATGGACATTGCTTGCATAATTGTCCTTAAGTGTTTGAGTTATACATTGTCTATTGTATTTGTAAAACTTTTAATGAAAATTAAACTTCTTAAAAATAAAAATCTTATTTATGAACATTACCATAAATTGACTGACAATACGCAATACACAGCATTTGATTCCTTGGGATGCTTTCAAATTATATTCGACCACTTTGTTTACATCACTCTTACATCATCATATTAATTCTAGATAAATGATATGCTATAACCCATCTGCTTAAGAACTACTGAAACTCATGCTAAGTGAATTCTATAAACCAAATAACTACAAAATAATGTTCAATTCTAACATGAACATGGTTACTTGAAATGCAAAAGCCCATTCAAACAACAGCTAAAAATCATTACCAATACACCTTCACACTGAAATACATTGAGTATTATAGTGATAATAATTGATTTTTAGCTGTTGTGTGAAGTGCTATTATTGTGAATCTGAATGCGTAACACAGCTGATGAAATTCTTTGCCAGTTGTCACTGATTTTTCCATTCTATGAGGAATAAATCAGACCAATTTTCCTCCACCATGACCCATTTGCTAACTACTATAAGAATTTGCAATCTAACCTACCATAACCAGGCTTCCAACCAACTTTTAATTTATCATTTGGAACATATAAGTTAGGGGTTATCTATTTTTTTCATCATTTTCAAGAGTGTACCTTTACCAGACCCCCTCCTCCCCTCCCCCTCAGAGAGAACAAGGCAAAATGCAAAAAATGATGACCTTTGACAGCATGATGGATAATCATTTTAATAATTTTTTAAAAGTGTACAGAGGGCAGTAGACTTGTGAAAATGATGATAAAAGTGGAAGACCCTTCAAACTAAAATGAAGTTACTGACAACTAGCACCTTTTAACTATGCGCATACCTCCAACTAATTTGAAAAAATTATATTCTTTTGATTGTAAAGTAAAGCTTACTGCCCTGGTGAGTTGTTAAGGATATTTTCTACCAAACCATACAAATACAAAAGAATAATTTCAAATGACTGACAAACAGAATACCTTTACGTGCATCTGTAAAATAAACAAAGAAATGCAAAATAAAATACGGCAAAGAAAAGAAAATTTTAACACAACTATTATTGATTCAACAAAGAAACAAAATATTTATATTAATTTCAAAACCAAGTGAAAAATTAAACAGATTGAGAACCAAAATGAAAGACATTCTGCAAAATACGGTTCAATATAAAAGTTTGTCAAAAAATAAAATCCCAATTGTGCAACAATAATGAGTGGTTGGTAGAAAATAATCATCCTTAAGTTGAATTATGATATTAAAACATGCTATTAATGTGTAAAAAAAGACATCTTAAGACCAACATCCATTCCTAAATAAATAAACCATAACATAAAGCTTTAAATAAGTTAATGTTAGCAAAAAATTTAGTTAGGTCAAAAATATAAGAAATTATTGGGTCAAAAATCAAATACTGAATCCTTAGAGAAAAACTTTTAAAATAAAAAGCACCTGGCAGAAAAAAACTGGGTGGTGAAAAGGTCAGAATCAAATGTTTAATATAAGTTCCTTGCCATTATAAGTCAGAATGGTAAAAAGGTATACTTAAAATTAAAAAGAACACCTTTCCCCTTTAAAATTACTGACTTCAGGCATCCAAGCCTTATATAAATAAGTCTAAAAAAAGCAGTTGGCCATGCTGTGAGCACAAGAAGCCCCCGTGTACCTCCAAAATGTGTCCAGTTGACATGCTCCAGGTTGATGAGGGAGAGATTTCTCAATTCTTTAGCATGCGTCTCACCTCCTAGCTGGAGGTGGCGGTCTAAAATCTCAGCTGGAGAGAAACTGGCATACATAGGAAGCTCTGTGCCTAAAAAAAATAGTGAATTTGAACAGATTCATTTCATATCGAAATTTTTACATTATCTATAATATTAAAGTTTCATATTTTCTAGACTATCCGTAGGAAAGGAATGCAGGTTTAAAACATGCATGTGGTGTATTTATTTGAAATTCTATGATCTTTTTAATTTTCAAGAATCTCTGCTATAGAGAAAGTGGCACCTAATGGAAAAGGAATGAAGGTTTTGAGCATTACATTTTAAAAGTTCAAACATTCTCTCAGTAATTTTGGTGGCAGCTATCTTGGATTCTAAGCTACTTTTGCAATTCACTTCATTCCAATTCAGCATGTTCATTAATCATAGCGGTAAGGCTCTGAGATAAAATTAATGTACCGAAAAAAAAAAAAAAGCTCAAAATTCTTGTTTAACATCTTTAAAGCTTGACCTAAAGACTACATGCTATATAATACAGTACAGTAACTGAAACAATCTTTTCATGGCAAAAAAAGGATACGATTAGACACCTGAACATATGTACCTGGTAGACTAGGGGTGGTTCTGCTGTGTGCTGTAGGCTGCACCAGTGTGCTGTCAGCAGTTAAATACACTCTCTCCATACACGACTGACATGGCACCAGGGGGGTGTAGGGCAACGCAGTCGGCCACAGGTGTTGGTACGGAACTGCCGCATCCCCATCGGTGGTACTGAGACTCGTTCTTGAGGCAGCATGCTGCAGAAGGTAATAGTTAGCCAGGGTGTCTTGTGAGAGAGATCCCAGCATGCCTGTTGTCGTCATGGCAACATTTGGCAAAGAGCCAGGAACAGACTGTGCAGATGTGACGGGAATTCCTATATCCATGCCTGGCAAATTAATTGAGCCTGAAGAGGATAAACTTCCCTTTCTAGCATCCATGGGAACACTGGTCGTTGTCAGAGTAACTAAACCAGAACTGATAGGCTTAGTCTGAGTGACTACCAAGACAGGCTGTTGGGCGCCTCCTGCATATATATCCCCAAGCTCAGTCTCTGTCTGTTCATCAACCATCATCATGGCGCTGGTCTTTTTCCCAGGGATGGCTGCCTCGTCAAACTGACCCGTCCTCTCTTCATCAGCCATCTCAGGACAGGAAAGTGACCTGGAGCCTCTTTGGATTGACATGGATTCTTTGAGCTTTTCACGGTCAATACTCATGCTGTTGAAGCGTATTCTGTTGACTGTTTTCATGAACTGTGCCACGGATTGAGCTGTAAGTTCCTCACTGCCATTTGGGCTGTCACCATTTTGTGCCTCAGCATCACTCATTTCTTCTTTGCTTTCAGATTCCAAGTCAAACTCAATCTTGTTGATGTCACATATCTCTTGATCTGGAAAAGTTCTAACTTTGATATAAATTTTCCATATTTTTTCTATCAATACTCATCAATAACAAAAATTAAAGGTAAAAAAACAGTTTTCAGGTTGAAGATGAATCAATAAAACAGCATTGCCTGTGGATAATTCGTGAGCTAAACAGTGAGGGAAGTAGCAAAGATTATATCTTAAATCAAAATAAATATTGTAGGTAATAAAATGAATAATAAATAAATTAATAAATTAGTCACTAAATTAATCATAAATAGCTAAGCACCTTCAGCATCATGCATTTCCACAGCAGAGCCATGATCTGATAACTTCTCAATTACATGTGGCAAGGACTTAACAGAAAGGTTTGACATGCTATCACATGACTTCTTCATCAGCTCCTCCTCAGCCGTTTCCTTCACACCATCTGACACAGATGATAAATTCAGGGTCAACTTGACCTCTGAACTCTCTGCACGAGGTAAAGATCCCTCCCTCTGATGTGCAGGTGGGATATTGGTTTTCTCACCATTAATGTCAGAGGCTTTGTCATGGTGAACACTGAAACCTGACTGGATCGGCTGTGTTTCTGTAAGTTTTGATACTACCCTGATTGTCTCAGTTTCAGATGGCGTCTGTGTTACTTCAGGACAGGAAGTTGGTATGTAAGGTTTACTTGGTGGACTGGAGGCTATAAGTCCTGATGATGATGCAGTTGTTGTCCTCAGTTGGGAAACCAGCTCCTTCTTAATAGGAACTCCAGCTGAGGCTGAGGCAGATATGGCTGTCTTATTTGCTGCCAAAGCCTGCGCCGTTGAAGCAGTCTCAGAGTTAAAACACTCCAAAGTATCTTCAGCCCTCTCCAGTGGAGCATCTTCCCTGAAGGCTAAAGTTCTCTTTGCAGTGACAGGTGGCTTTGTGGTGAAGTCTCTCTTCATGGGGGATGCTGGGATACTGCTGTCAGATAGAGGCTTGTCCTGCGTGGGGGTGGGGGTCTTAGGATGAAACAGCTTCAGTCCTAGCTTATTGGTCTTGGAGTCTCCAGATAGGGGGTGCTGGGTGGTCCTACTGTGGGACCTCTTGAACTCTGACCCCCTCTCCTCACTGGGAGGTGTGGTACCCCTGGGTGTGTCTACGGGCGTGGCGGCAGGGGTGGTAGGAGTGCCTAGAGAAACAAAAGAACAAGTTTATATTTAGTATTTTGGTTCTCGCAGTACAAAATGCAAGGTTTTATACATTTTACACAATTATTTATCAAATAGACACCAGCTGTTACTTAATTCTTGTGTATTCAAAATACTATATAAATAGGTATCTCATAATGTCACTGGTCTCCAGTCCTCCAATTAAGGTGAAACAAGAACAAGAAGAAACAACAACACCAACAACATCAACAACAGCACTTGTGGTTAACCCACCCTGATAAGAGCCCATCATGTCAGAATGGCTGTGAGAAGGTGTCACATCCTTGGAAGAAGGTGGGGGAGTTGACAGTCCACATGTCATGGCTGGGGACCACAGTAGGGTCTCTGCACTGCCTGCAGAGGGAGGGGGGATTGACAGGAGCCCCTGGAGCTGTGAGGGTGGGGTCTGGTGAGCTGGGTGCAGCACCACAAAGCTAGGGACCTGTTGGCTAGGCAGCTCAGCTGGAAAATGAGAAGTATTCAAATAACAATACTGGCCATACCGTGTATTATATAAAATTTCTCTCCATTGCACAGCAAGTTCATTGGCAGTCAGTGTAGTATGCCTCAGTCTTTTCTATAGACATAAATTTCTTCCCACCTCTGCACTGGTAGATTTAGTAAAACAAGCAGGAAAGGGTGGGGGCACACATTGATAAATTTTACATGAGAAATTAAAAAATTAAAACATTCGACAATTACTATAATTATTATAATAATGCAAGGAGATGGCAAATGCCTTTTGCTTTTGTCTCACTTCATTTGTTACACTTTTTATTAGATGGGGAGGGGGGAAGGGGCAGATCAAATGAGTATCTGAGAAGTTAAAGAAATTGGTTACAGACTGGCTGTACCTTGAGAAGATATGGACATCCTACTGATACTGCCCTCCCTGTATATATTGTGATCCAGTGGAGAAATGGTGTCCTGTCCACACAGAGGTCCCCAGATTGGACAGCTGACATCTTCCTTTGTCCCCTCTATGGGATCCAGGGACATCTTAGCACAGTCAATTATGATGTCATGGGTCTCCATGGTCTTCCATCTGAAAATGGAAGTGAAAGTTAAAGGAGTTTCATTCAGTGAACTCTAGTAATATGTTGGCACAATTTTAGATAATTTCACTGGGTCCAATATTTGATTGCAATCCAAGCAAAAGAAGACCCTCAGAACTTTTATCAGTATGGAAAAGAAATTATATATTTTCAGTGTATGCCAGCTTGTATAACTGTTGCTATTGACTTCTTTTGCATTACTCGTGAAAAAATGTTCAATTTATTGCCAACTGACTTTTCTTTATTGTGTATAATGGCTAACGAATACTATGAAAGTTTAAATGATAATTACTCTCCTTCCTCCAGACATTTCACTAATGCATAGTTCTATCACTGCCATCTGTTCAGTCAACAAATCTGCAAATCATTTCCTTAAACTTAAAATTAATTAAAATTAATTTTACCTTTCTAAGCTCAACTCATAATCCTTGTTCCCCAGAATCAAGAGAGGGTGAATTCTAACCTTTTCTAGCATGGGCTGAAGATTTCAAAATAAAAATCAAATAAACCATACTTTAAACTGAGTACACATTTTTCTCATAGAATTTCAAATGCACCTTTCATCATAGCATGGCTAGTAAGGTGATATGTAGTTCAAGAGAATTGTGTTTAAATGGGACAGTGTAGCAGTGCCTACATTAAATTTCTCAAAACAAGTAAAATATCCACTCTACTCTTTATTTTCTTCATAGAACCAAAATAATTAAAAGAAGGCCAAAATAAACATTAGAGTAGGGCAAGGAACACATAGTTATTAACCTGGACTGTGGATTTGAAGACCTCTTGATTCTCCGACCTGGTGTAGAAAATACGTAGATATTCCACAAAGTTGACAGGGTACATTCCATATAACCGGTGGAAGAGAGCATACACCCCAACATTCAGATGAAGAAGATAGATATCTGGTACATTTCCTGTGAAGAAACAAAATTAAACTGGGTCATGAGACAACCAAATTTCTAAAGCAGAGTTTTTATCAGGTCAATGACCTGGATAGTTACCTTGGATTGTGTGTGCGTGCGCCTGGATGCATGTGTGTGATCAACATGTGGTCAACATATTATAAATGAATTAGAGAAACACTTAAATCAATATCCAAACTCATAAAGAGAACTTGCCAGGTTTTTTGTTGTTGAAAGAAGCCAGCCTGCTGAAGGCATCAAATATTGACGGCAAATACGGGTGAATTCTCACTGGCTCCATGGGGAGGAGAGAGACAATGGCTAACAGGGCAGACATCAAGATGGGAACATCAGTGTCCGTCTGAAGTAAACAGATATATCAATATGTAAAGCACTACATTAAAAACAAATATACACCAGGTTGCTAAGTGCCTGTACTCAAATTTGCATATTTAATTCCATGTTTTTTCTACTGATGAATTTCATCCCCATTCAGAACACAGAGATTTTAAACTTTGGATTTTTATTTCATTTCTTTTCAATCTTTGAAATTTTTATTACTCATTACAACAGAGAAAGAAAGGAAAACGATAAGTGAAAGGAAAAAAAAAACAAATGAGAAAAAAAAACATTACTTAAATCAGTTCTCACCTTAAGACACTTGATGACTGCCCCTAAGATGGGTTGTTTGATTATCACAGGGAGCCAGGCAGGTTGTTTTATTATGATATGCCCCAGCAGTGTCAGGGTGGGCAGGCGAGTCTGGATAGCCTTCATACAGTCATTCAACTTCTCAAACAGATGCTGAAGGAAAGATGCTCTAATGAAATTATGTTAAAGATATTTGATTATAAAAATACTTAAGAATTTAAAAAGGGAAGTGTTAACATTTTATTTTCTTGAATTATGCATATGGTGAATTTCTTCAATGACTCAGGGATAAAGATGCTTCTCTTCTTTAATTAAAAAAATATAATAAAATATATAATATGAGATATAAAATATTATCAATAACAAAATAAGTGCATGGTATTAAGTCTGCTCAAAATGTTTATGCCCACCCCCAAAATTTCTCTTTCATACAAATGTGAGCAATTAAGCAAAAATGTGTGTGTATATTTGCATATGTATATGATTGTAGTTGAAGTGCATATGCATTTGATTAAAAATGTGTGAATATGTTTGTGTGTGTCTGCATGTGTGAGCATGCACTCCGATGTATATGTGTACTTACTACAGCATGAGCATCCCCGATATTGGTCAAGATGTCCAATGTCTGCTCTGAGTTTGTGGTCATGTAATAGTCCACCAGTCCATTGAGAAGCCATTGGTACTTCTCCTTGTCTTTATCTACAAGAAAAAAATAAAAGAAGGCAATTCAATTAAAAAAAATAATAATAGGTTCCTGCAAATTTTTAAACAAAAGTTATAGATTGACAATTTAATATTGTTATGATGAATGATATATTCTGATCTACGGTGATGGTTAAAAAGATGTCCTGACTCCATAATTATTCTACACATATGCTGTACAGTATGTATTATACATATCTGTATACACCTAAGGCACAATATCATTTTTCATCATCTTATCTTTTCACCATCCATCCATTCAGTAGGAGTTCCAAATCACCAAACAAAATCAAAATGATCTTATCTAACATCTTTCAGAGAGTTATAAACAATTTAAAAGGAAAATATGAAGATATTAAAAACAAAAACATATCCCATGTTATTCCTGCGGCTAATATCCTATAGACCAAGGCTTGTTTACAAGGGCCTAATCTGTTGACATTTGGCATGTGAGTTAAGTTATCACCTTGGCAGACATCCAGCAACATGTGAAGATAGGCCAGGGTCAAGTGTGTGTATAGATATGTGAAATCTTGACACAATTTTAGTGACCTGGGGGCAGGATAATAAAAGTACTGTAGCCTCCAAAATTGGTCTAAATATTTTGTCCAAATATTTGGTCTACTTCAGTTCAAGATGAGTCCTTTGAAGTCCACATTAGCAATGTCTTTCTTGCACTTTCTTTTTACTTTAATTGCACTACTGTTTTGTTTTCAAAGTAGACTCATTTTTTAATCAAAATCAATGTGTTACTGGGAACAATTCAAGAGAAAACAGAGCGATATGTTTGTTTAACACACCAACTAAGGAAATTTAAATAATTTTTCTTCTGTGAGACAATTTTTAATAACTGCTTTTTACCAAGTTCACACTGTTCAACTAAGTGCCTTTTATCATCTTTACACAAAATAAATCATTTTGCATCTAAAGGGCATAATATGCCAGCAAGCCACTAAATTATCTAAGCTTGGGGGTTAAATAAATAACCTCTGATGTATTTATAATCGATAATACAACTGTGAAAGTAACAGACAGTCAATAAATCTTGGCCATTCTCCAACAAGATGCATATAGATATATTACAGTTAAAAATATTGCTTAACTGAAAAAACTCATTTTTTTTTAATTTACAGCACCTACTAGTATCTTTTTCACAGTTGGTTTTTGCATTAGTTTACTTGAGGGAAATGTCTGACAAACCACTAAATATATCATTTGTGCATATGTGTGTGCATGTGTGTGTGTGTGCGTGCGAGTATGTTTTCATATATACTATTTTTTTTTTGGGGGGGGGAGGAACAATTTTGTAAAATTAAATAAAACTATTAATATTTTTCTCAGTGCAGTGCAGTGCTTGCAAAGTTGTTGTTATAGACAAAGAAAAAGAGGCCAAGGATGAAAGATAAGTAACAGCCTACTTAAGACAGATAAGTTCTTTGCTAAGTCAATAACATTTTTTAGTAAACAGGCCCACACATATTCAATGCCTTCTTTTTATTAAGTCAGGTATATTCTTACAGTCACTAAAACTTCTTTCACGTACTTCTCTTTTTTTTTTTTTTTAAATCAAAATCTACATTTCTAGTAATTTTCACCCCAAAGTAATAAAATGAACTGATACTTAAACAAACATGTATTAGGTATGATGAAGTCAACCTTTGCCTCTGTTTGCATCTCTAGGCTGACAGGAGAGATGTGATAACTGCCAGCCCTGTCTAGACAACAGTTCTATCACGAGATCTGGAGTTATTTTTATTTTCTAAAATCAGACATGACCCTAGGTTTCATTAAAAAAAAACTCTGAACATTTACCATGGGACCCAACACTTAACTTTGACAACAGACATGCCGAAAACTTTTCAGAGTGGCCGGACATTTGGACCGGCGGTAATGAAAAAATTGCCAGACCAAATGGATTTTTGTCGGACCAAAAATCACCCTATTCATTTGAGGCAGATACTACCCGTACGATTAGGTAGCTTACTTTGTTTGTGAATGTGATAGGTTTGGAATGGAAGAGAAAAAACGCTTTGGGTTTTATATAATTTTATTAGGGAAGTATGTCAAATGATGACTCTTAATTCAAAAGTGTGGCTCTTAAAACTCTTGTCGGTCCTTTGGACAAACCATGTCCAATTTTTTACCAGTCCAGACAAATTTTCCCGGTCATGACCGATCAGACCGACAGTTTCAGCATGTCTGTGACAAATCTCAGGAACCATCAGAATTGAATTAAAAAACGCGGAATTCCACTTTTCTGTGGAAAAAGGTCATGTCTGTAAAATGCTTGAAAGCAATGCAGGTTATCCACCCTAAGCATTTAGCCATATCCAGTCTCCTTAAGGCTACATAGTTTTTTCTTTGGCATAATGTCCATTGATAGGATCTATTCCTACTATTTTATTGTTAAGATAATGTAAAAAGAAATGCACTCTTTGAATACTGCAACATTGGCCACTTCACAATTCTTTCCACTTTGAGATAATATTTCCCCTTCATAAATTTTGTTCACTTTTTAAATTTTACAAAAAATAGGAATAAACCAGTGCTTTTCATCTAAAATCTGACAAAGTACATTTGCAGAAATTAAAGTGGAAAAGTTGTGTGCAGACAAGACATTCTGGAGAACAAAAACATTAAGATATTCACCCAAAACAACGTAAAAGAACAATAAATCTTGTGGGATTCTTCATCCTAAGCAAATTACTAGCAGATTGGGTGTTGGATTAGAAAACAATTGAAAATTTCAAAAATATTAGGATGACTGGACAAGTGAAAATTCTAGCTTTAATTGTTTTAAGTTATTTTTCTATATTCAATCTTCAGGTTAATCCACACCTTCTTTTACTAGACCAGCAGTTTCTGGTCCCCACTACTTTTCAAAATACCAGAGGTAGGCAAGTTAAAGGCACAGACTGATAAATAAAATATTTCATTATTTTTCATATTCAATAAATGAATAAATAAATAAAAATCCAAGGGCTTATTAAATCCAGGCAAGTGATTATAAAGTGAGCTTAGCTAAACAATTAGCACAATAGTCACCGTACTACTCACTTGTGCTATGTTTCAGTGTGTCAACAATGACATCCCTGATCTCCTTCCTAGCGTCCAGGCTGGAGGAGTCCAGCAGATCAAACCTGACATATTGCTCTGTGTCAGCGCCACTGGGCTGCTGGGCGGCCATTACATTCCTAGAAGGAAAAGAACGGGGACAAGTATAAGTTGGCTATATAATACAATGTATGTACTAAGGAATAAATATGTAAGTAGGGAAAAGGAATAAAAAAACATTTGGTTTGTGCTGCTTTACCATGTTTTCTTTCATTTCTTTGGGGGGGAGGGGGGGGGGGAGAACGTTGACAAGGGTTAGCCCCAAAACTTGTGGGCCACATTCTCCCCCCCCCACCCCACCCCATTAATACCACCACCACGCACCGATTCCCCAATTATACACACGCATCGATTTTCAGCAAGATTCACATGATGTAAGAGTTAAGACGACTTCTGAGTGTCAGATATAGGACATCTGCCAACACATAACAATTCAGTAACGTAGACAAAGTATAGGCAGTACAAATGTAAAGCTAATACGCGCTATGCATGGGCATGTGAGCATGGGAAACACAAATTAGCCGGTGTAAATCGTGAAGTTAAACAAAATGCTGTCGCTGACACATTACGTGACGAACGAGTGTACTGTAGGTTATATTTCTTTTCTGCATGCTACCGAAAATATTTCAATTGAAGAAACTCAACATGTGTAATAATTCGACTGATTTCATGACTGTCATATCCTACAATTTACAGCATTGCTCAAATAAGGTAAATTTTAACAAAAAGTCTGCTCACCTGCAAAATCTTCACTCGTGACCGTCCATGTTACATCACGCGTGGTTTTACGAGATTTCAGATCGAAGGCGGCCATGTGAAATTCGCATTGGTTTCGTTTCGGTTTATTTTGTTTCACACACTTTGCGTTTTTGCATTGACATGGAACCATCTCAAAGCATTCAAGAAAGGGAGCGTCTCCAGCAGGAGATATTACAGATTCGCCAAGCTCTCCAAGCGACAGATGACGTTGAGAGCGATGATGAAGTCGAAGAAAATGACGTCGCCGGAGAGGTGACGGGGAGTGACCGTGAAGATGGTATTTCAACCTTAAGGCTTGCTTTCTTGTTGACATATTTTAACGTTCTCAATATCACTGTCCTACACTTTATACAACACTTTATACAAGTAAAATTGCAGCGTGTTTCAGAAGCTTCTATTTTACCTCTCCCCTTGCCTCAAATTGTGAATATGAAACGTGAACTTCAAAGTTGAATAAATTTTTGAATTTAGAACTCCGAGTCCAAAATGTAAAATTCCTGTCAGTAACCTGTGCCTTCTTGAACGTTGAGCAACATTTTTATCAATCTTTTTTCAATTTACGGTTACTTATATTTCATATAGTGATATTTGTTGCTGTTCTCCCTGTATTTTCAGAAGCCGGCCCCAGCGGTCAAGGAAGCACTGTTCGTTCAACTCCAGCCAGTATAAATCTGGACAGCTGCAGCTTTCAGGTGATAGAATTTTGACTTTATAAAATATGTATGATGTTTATAAAAATATGTGATATGCACAGAGTAAGAAGTTGCCTACTATTGGCAGATTTCTGCTCTTTTTGGATGGTGTTAGTGCTAACAACTACAACAAGATTTTTTTTTACTTTCTGCAAATTTCTTATTCTTTGGGAGCTATATACAGAAGTGACAGTACAAAGCAGGAGTTGATGCCACGTTTAAGTTTCTTATGAGTGGTGAACCTGTTGCATACTGGTGGCAAATGGTGATAACAAGTAACCCGCTAGTATAAACTAGGGTATTCTTAACCATTACATACGATTATGAGCGCAGTTCATATTTATATGATATTACTCCCTTCAGCTAGTGCAAGAGGCTCATAGTTCAAATTCATATAATGTTTATTCATTCATCCTGCCAGTGCATGAGGCTCACAGTTTGAATTTAAATCATATTTCTTCCTTCAGCAAGTGCAAGAGGCTCACAGTTCAAATACACATTATTTTTCTTCCTTCAGCCACTGCAAGAGGCTCACAGTGACAGTGCTTTCAGTGTGCATCAAGACCAAGATGTCAGCTTCGATCATCTTCAGCTGGATGAGTCTGGAAACCTCCCCACCAGCTTGGAGGCAGCACTGGCCATAAACCGTGCCTACCAGGAGATTGTCTTTGAAAATATCAAACAGCTGGAAGAGGCTCTGATTGAGAACAGGGAGAAGCAGGTTGGTGTGGACATCAGGGTCTAGTTTCAGAGTGGATGTGAAGAATAGAATTGGTGTTTCCTAGACATGCTCAGTCTTTTAGTCAATCAGGTGTATTTCATTCACTCACTCACACACAGGCACTGATGCGCAAACATGCACGCACACACACAAGACTTTGACACTGCTTGTTTGTTTTCTGACTACTGTAATAAACTGTTAATGCTTCATTTGGTTGTGTCACTGCAGCTTTATCTTTCTTTCAGAAAATGATTGAGGCAGAAATAGATGGCAAGGTTGGGACAAAAGTTAAAAAATCAAAAGCCATTTGTAAAAGTGACTATGCCATACCTTACTTTAAAGATGAGGATGGATTGGTGAGTAAAAGGCTTTTAGTAAGTATGATTTCAAATGATGAAATTACCTGGACTATTTATTGTAATCTATTATATAAATATGCTAAGAGGCAAGATTTGAAATGTTTGCTTCCTGAAGTGAGAGTTTTTAATTTAAAAAATGAGAAAAATTTAACATAAGTCGGATAAAAATAAGTTTTCAGAAAGTTTAATGTACAAAATAGCATTACCACTTTATTTTATCTATTTATTTAATTTTTCTAACATATTATTTTTGTTGTTCCAGCCTGCCCCAGTCAATGAAGATACCAAGATCAAGCGGGCGGGGGAACCCATGGACCACCATCTTACCAAACCACCAAAAACATGTAACTGATCAATTAATATACACCACATTATGATTGGGTTTTACATTTTTGGCATTATGATCACTACTTAACAGTGAAATATTAAGTGAAATTGAGGAGAAAGTGTTGTTGATGAATAAAATGTTGGACTTTTTCTTTTGTCACCCAAAATTTGAAAGTTATCTGCCCAAAACATTGTTTTGAAAGCCAATTATTATCTGGTAACTTTCATTTTTCCTCTGACATAATGTTAATTCTGGTCTATGAATTATGCCCAGTTCGTATTTATTGCAGGGACTGCAGAAGAAAAGAAGAAGTTGCAAAAAGCTGTGAAAGAGGATAATTTGAAGCAGCTTTTACAGCCACATATGAACAGGTGAAGGCCCCCACATTTTTACCTAGTGATAAATTTCTTTGTGTACAAAAAGGCTAATTCTGTACATTTAGACTAATAAGAGAAGTGAAAGGGTCTCAGCATTGGCATGCTTCTATTTTGAAAATGTGAAATTTCCTACTAATGATTCTGGTGATAATAATCACTTCTAAACAGAATTAAAGTGAAACAGCTGTTGTCTCGAGAGCATCATCAAGCTGAATGCCAACAGGTCCTTCAGTGTTGGTAGACATGTGAACTATTCTCTCGTGGAGAAGTAATAGATAGACTGAGCTCACAGGCCTGCCAAAACCAACTACCAACTGCCAAAACCAACTACATGATACTCTTGAGACAAGCGAAAAGTAGCTGTTTCACTTCAATTTTTGTTCCAAAGTAAGTAATTATTATCTCTAGAATTGTTAGTAAATACAGTTCCTTGGAACAATGAACAATATTATTTATAATGAAGTTTACTGTGTTGACTAACTGCCCCTGTGTAGTCTTAACCTAATTCAGGTAGCTTGTAAATGTTAATTGAAAAATTTAGAGGTTGAAATTAAGAATGTTGGTAAGTAGAATGTCTTCATGATTAAATTGAAAAATACATTCATTAAAATTGATAATATTTTTTTCGTGTTTTGGTAGAAAAGAGCTAGAGCTAGAGAAACTTGCTGAAGCTAAATCTATAAATGAGGAAAAGGAAATACAAAGCAGGATAAAAGATATTGATCAGAAAATAAGTGATATACAGTAAGTATTGCACATATTTCAGACACCACCAGTCTACATAGATCATCCAGCTTAGCCTGGACTCTTGCTGGGTGCAATCAGCTTAAGCTGGTGAGTATACAAGTTTAGCTGATTGCACTAAGTGAAAGTCCCCTCAGAAGATGGATTGGTCTATGTAGACTAGTGGTGTCTATTGGAATGGGATCTACATTCATCTGTAAGTAGACAATTAATATGGATATCTGTCTGATGTTAATTTTGAATTTGTATCCCCCTGACCAAATGTGTTGCATTGATATTTATGACAGGAAAGTATGTAAAGTAATTAATTGTAACAAATTATTTTATGGTGTATTCAAAAAAAAAAAAAAAAAGGACAGTGCACTTTACAGAATATGTGAAGTTATGAAAAACACAAAATGACACTGCAGAAAAAGAGCACAAACAAAAACTGTTATTTAGCAGCAACAATAGCTTTAGAAATATTGCTTTAAATACCCATACATTGTAATCATCTATAGAAATGTTTTCAAGAAGCCAGTGAAGCACCTTTTATGTGTCAGTATATTTTTTCTACTGCAGGAAGACATCTGATAAAAAGATTTTTGAAAGCCTGGAGAATTGTGAGACGATAGATTGGATGAAGATTGCCAATATACATGTCAGTTTCTTGGTGTCATGTATTTTTAATTGTTTGTTGTTTTATCTGTGTATTTTATATCTTTTTAAAGTAACTTAAAGATGATTTTATTTAAGTATAAAAGTGAATTTACTTTGCCTGGCAAACATTTTTGATTTATTAAAGATTTCTAGTAACAGCTCCCATTGGTCAGTGTTGATCCCTAAAATGTTGGTTTTTATGGCTGATAGATGGCAGCATCATTGACAGTATGATATAGTTCTGCCAGTTGTGCTGCCATCTGTGTACTGCTTATTACAATTATGAAAGTTGCTTCCAATGACTGATTAACAAATGATTAATGAGAAACTATAATTGTAACTTTAAATGCATAGAACAGCTGATAAAATTGTACGCTGGGGTCAGTTTTACAAAAAATCTAAAATCAGTTTCAGTGGCTAGAGTCTAACACCTATTTTATATATCTAATGTATCTGTTTTAGTTTGAAGGGAACAGAACAGCCAGTGACTGCCTCAATGCCTGGAAGAACGTCCTGCATCCTGACATCAACAAGAAAAAGTGGACTGCTGACGAAGATAAAAAACTGAAGGAAATTGTGGAGTCCTTTGAAGAGAGAAACTGGGGGCACATAGCAGAGGCATTGGGGGTAAGTTTTTCACAACCTTCATCATACCAGACATGAGCTTTTTCCACGGAAAAGCGGAATTCCTGGTTTTTTAATTCAATTCTGATTTCTTCCTGAGATTTGTCAAGGTTAGGTGTTGGGTCCCATGATAAATGTTCAGAGTTTTTTCTTTAAATGCAAGAGTAGTGAAATGGGTTGTCCGCACAGATGCGTAACTTTACAGCATTCTATAGTTGAAACGTCTATTTTTCCTTTCAGACTGGAAGAAGTTCCTTTATGTGTCTACAGAGATACCAGCAAAAGCTAAATCCTTTAATGCGTGGAGGGTGAGATTTGCTTTGACTTTTAAAATTGTAATGGGTTACCTTATTTATCTTTGGCTGTATTAGTTCATTAGATATGTGTTAGATGGTATTTTCATTATTATATTTTTATATGAAATGAAAAAGATGTTGGTCCCACCTACTAAATTTTAGATAAATACCAATTAAATTTTTATTTGAGTAATGTACAAGCAGAATCTTGAATTTTTTTTTAGCTTCTTCCAAATATATTAATATTCTTAAATTTGTTATTATTTTGTCTGAAATTAGCAAGCATCTTAGCTGAAAGCAATATTTACCAATACTGAGACAAATAGGAGTTGTGTTATCGTGGAATAACAGATAACTACTTATCTATATGTCCTTGAAGCTTTGATTATGATAGTAATATCCCAATACTTGATGAGGTCAAACTTGTTTCAAGGATATAGATTTTAAAAGTGTATTGTAGCTTCCTTAATGTCTAATGAAACCTAAATTTTCTTGTTAAGGCCATTCACCCCAGAGGAAGATGAACTGCTCAGGGAGGTGGTGGCCTACTCTCAGGTTGGGAATATGGTCCACTGGGTACAAGGTGAGCTTTTGGGGGGTCTGAAATACCTACAGGGTGTCCAACATATTTATATGGGAATAGGATTTATCTGGGAGGAAGATAGGTGCTATTAACATTAAAAAATGACAATTTGTATTGGCAGTTGTTTTTTGGGACCAAGCTAATGCGCAGTAACTTCACTGAATGCAATCAGATTAACAGACTAACACACTTTCTATTGTTTCCAACATAGTCGTATAACCACCATCTTCTCTGTATACTACTGAACACCAGGAGGAGGCGTGTTAGTCTGTTCATTTGATTGTATTCAAGAATAGCATTGATGGAATTAGTGGGTATTAGCTAGGTCGACAAGATTCATTATGAACGTTCCCTTTAAACACATGAATCTGTGCCGTTTTATTCCAGTGGTCTACTACATGGAAGGGCGTAGTGTATACCAGTGTAAGAAAAGATGGGAGCAACTTGAGGGAGGATATAATATGGGAAGATGGTCTACAGATGAAGATTATGTATGGATTTAGGATTATGTTTCTTTTTCAACTTTCCCTCATTTATATAAATTTGTTTAAATAATCAATGGTGTATTTTGATTTCAACCTAGTCAGTAAATTTTTTGTAATATCTCTAAAGTAAAATATGTCTAAAGTCATGTCTAAATTGTCAAAAAATGAAATAAAAGATCCAAGTATTTTATAATTTCTGAAGACAAAGTGGATGATTTAAATACTAAAGTACAGTGTTCATTTATTTTTTAGATATGACATTGTAATCAATTTAGAAAATTGATAGAATAAAATATTTAAGTTAATCAACTTTGAAAAAAGAAGTATGTGCTTCATTGGTAGGGATTTTTTTATTATTTTGTAAATATTGTTGAATTTTTGTTTTCTGTTTAATGTTTGTACATTTGCAAGTTTTGCTGTCTATGTTTCAGGCACTCAAGAGTGCAATAGACAAATATGGAGAAGGTGATTTTGTCAAAATTGCAAGAATGGTGCCTGGCAGGAGTGCACCCCAGTGTAGGGAGAGGTGGGTCATATTGCTCTGGGGTCCCTTTCACAAATTTTACTGTGGAAATGGCTGTTAATGACTTGATTTTAAACAGAAAAATAAAGCGATTAGAGCCAGTCAGTTCTGAGTATAGATGGATGGAAAGATATGTATGATCTTTTTTTTTTTTTTTT